GTAAGATCATTCTTCCTCAAAAACCTCATTGTTTATCTCCATAAATTATTAGAAAATCAAAAGTAATTTAATTTAAATTGTTTTTGCTAGTAATCACTTCTGTATGTAAAAGACAAACATAGGTCATAAAAACTTACTTCTTAAAAATATTTAAGTACTATATTTTCTTTAAGTGATGAAATATTACTATCAAATATAAATATAAAGTAATATAAAAATAAAAATAATAATATAAAGTTTATTATTTTTACTTGGTAATTAAATTATACGACAGTATGAAAGGTTTTCATGGATGTAAGTATAAATATTGTATAAAAACTGGTTATTGGTGATACAAAGAAATAAATTTACAGGAAAGTTCTCGGCAATAAATTGTCTTTATCTGCGATAAATGAACATATCAGTAATCATATTTAAGCGGACAAGGTATGCAGGTATCTCGTGAATTGCACAGAATCACAGTAAGTAGAATACTTCCACTATTCACAGAGCATGTTATTAAGTCATTCATATGCATAACTCACGAGCCAAGAAGCCGGTCGGTTGAGTTTTAAGCCACCTATCAACAGCATTATTTATTACCTTTTTTATAGTTCGCTAAATATGTAGGTCACTACTCAATGAGATTATGAATGAGGTTACACCGACTTATTTTTTGTTCACACTACATACAGATTGTTTTGTATAAATATCGTCTATCGTTGTTTTCGTCTACTTTTTTAGATAAAAGGTAATTTGTGTCCGTTCTCATAATACACTCTAGTTTCACGTAAAATTTCATTACAATCCATTCAACCGCTTAGCCGTGAAAAAGTTGCGAATAAGTAAATAGATACATTTATTAGAATCAGTGATACCTCGTCTGTATTATAAAATACAGACGTATTTCCGACATAGCAATCCACGAGTATCTAAACTGAAATTAAACAAATAGCCCCGAATGTCACCTATCGTGTACTACAAACTAATATTAGTATGAATAATTGCAAACATGCATGCTCGCAGCTAATAGCGAATGCCTGCTATGTGCACCTGCAATACTTAAGGAATGACAGATGTATTGGCGGTATTTTAGTGAAATATATGTATATACTTTTAAAATAACTATGGCCCGCGATTTTATCCGCTTATTTACCATAAAAGATAGGCAATGTCCTTACTCATGATACAATCTTTTCGTTTAGTCATGAAAAGGTAACTAGCAAAATGGCAGAAAGACTGATAGACACACTTTTGGGTTTATAACGACCGATTGTCATAGAAGAAAAGAAGAAGAAGTAGTATGGATTAATTAATTTATTAGTCGTTATTTTTTATTTGATTACGGATCGCGAATATTGTAAAATCATAAACTATGATTTGTGACAATCGTTAAGGAACTATAATATATTAAATTACAACAATTGATTGGTCTCTGAAGATATTATAACCTAAGAGAAATAATTTAATTAAGAGTAAAAACGACTACAATTAACACGTATCTGCGGATGTGCTGTGTTTAACTTAAGAGCTGACTTGATTTTAGTGGTATTCAACTATCCGTTAAGTTGTACGCTTTCTCTATTTTTCCGGTTGAACAATCTTGACTTTGAACCTAACTCTAGTCTTAAATAAAAACCTGCGTTTACTGAAAGAGCAAAGACTAACGTTTATTTAATTATGTACAGAGGTAGACTATAAAAAGTTATCTCTTTGATTACCTCAGTCTCATTTATTTCAGCCGCCAAGCAGCGTGTTGCACCTAAGCTGTGTTTCGGATATAGGGTCAGATTAGTCAGTGAAATTGCAGGATAAACGATATGACATTTTATTCCCCCGGAATAGTAAAGCCTTAATGGTAATCACAAATTATAACGATGATGACGTTTACCGTTTACCATCACATTTTTTTTCCATCGTCTATCATAACTGACTGAGTAGATAAAACAGCTAAAGGTAATGAAAAAACAAGCAGACTTTTCAGGTACAAAATAAACAAGCGGTAGAACATTCAAATAGAGGTAGGTGTAGTTACTGCCTTACGACATAAAAGAATGAACCTATGGTAGTACTTTTATGCAATTGTCACTATAACCATGATATTATTACGCTGAAATTGATTCGCAAACATTTGTGCTAAATGGTACATAAAAACGTGACTTACTCGATTGGTGCAAGATGTCAACAGGTTCTCTAACCGGCGCCCTTTTATCAGTAAGGTCAAGTCAAAGCTAATATCATTTTATACTTCACCTATATTATACCTACTTATTACAGGTTAACTAGTAAGATAAGTACATGTGTAATTTGAACTTAAAGATATGATTTATGGGACAAATGCTACCACCTCACAGGGAATCGTTAGTGGTAAGGACTTGTGCGGAATTCCTAATTATGTACTCTATTATGTTGGTCTCTACGTAGTCACCCCTGGAAATGATTCATGGTTAAAATCTAGTGACTTCTGACTGACCTAATCTCATTCTTACTTTATCGGTTTCCACTGGAGCACTGTCAGAGACCGTACCGTACCGTTAGCACAAGCGGGTATAAAATAACATATTAATTAATGCTGCCAATTGCATAAACTCAGTTCTTAAACTCGTTATTTTTTTTAGAAGATATTTACCTCATCATTCAGTTGAATATTAGACTATTCAGTTGAATTGGGAGCCCGTTCTTACTTGAAGCTAAGTCATCAATTAAACAAATGCATTTACCACTCCTACTACATCCTAATATATACCAAATGAATCAGAAGCTTACTATATCTAATGATTATTTTGGGCTATTCAATTCATATCTTATATCCTATACTGAAAATAAATTAATCACAATTGTACATTGATTCATTACGCAATTGTATTTTACTTGTAGAACTTTCAATGACCTCCACTTAATGATTTTTCACCGACAATAATTGAATGTAGGTGTTTGTCAGCAATCATTAGAGTCATGACCTTCCGATGTTTCACTATCGTAAATATAATTTCCTCCCACTTGATGCTATTGCGATCATTCATGTTCCGCCCAAGGAATTTTGATTGTAATAGCATAATATTCCATTAATTTAAACCAGTCATTTATCATCTAATAAAATTCTATGAAAAACGGTTTATAAATAGTATGCAAGGTTTTGTTTGTAAAATTAATATTCACTATATCTCCATATTTTTAAATTACTTCATAAAAGAAGGAGCTTTCGATTGTAATTTCACGGTATTGCATGCAAATTATCCAATTTAAAAATGTTCTTATTACATTGAGTTTATTCACTATACAGGCCTAAATGATCACTTATAATAAATTTTTCTCTTTTTGAAGTTAAAATTTCGAAAGACAATATTTTAGGCAGACTTATAATATCCGTTAAACAAAAAGCATCCACATAACCACTAATTAGGTGTACGTCATATGTTTCCGATTAATTTTCTTTTATATTGCACTCTTTTTTACATGACATGTTGTATAACATAATTGTAGAATGAAAATATCAGACATATGTTAGGTAGGTACTTACTTGACGCATTATCAATTCGTCACATTGTTTTCATCGTAACTGCAGTTCATTGTTACGCGCCTATTACGTTATAATACATAGGGTAACTTCTCAGCAATCTATATAAACCAGGAAGGCATATCGTGGCAGTTACAAAAACCACATGCCAACCACAGTGAGTGCCTGCAGCTCTAATTTGAAATCTACTCTAGATAGGACCAATTTATAACGCAACGTACCTATATAATGTAATAAATTACTAATTGACTGGCCCTAAGGTAAAAGTGGCTGCAATGTTTTGTAAATTATACATTATCCTGGAATGACATCTTTTGTACACTCCTAATTGTTTAATAAATAAGCGTTCATGATATTTATTTACAGTATATGGCAAACAAGGTATATTTTCAGCGAACGTTAAATGAATTGAACCATAAGGATATATTAATATGTTTCTTTAAACATGTTTAATGAAATCATTTAAACAAGAAAAAATCAAGTTAATAACATTTTTTAAATTAACATGATAATCTGAAATATACAGTAAAACATATTTTGTTGCGTTTACATCAAAACGTAAATTATATTTATTAATACAACATTATTTTATTTGTGTTAATACCTACCTATGACTTAAAATGCTACAGGTAAAAAAAAAGATATGATGTATATTTTTTTACCTTATTTCACAATACGTACTTTATAAACAGAATTTAAATACAATAATGTATTTATTTCTCTGCTATTTAGTAATAGCTATCAAAGATACTATAGAATCTCACTCTCTAGTCCAAGCATATAAATTTATTATATAAATCCCACAGATAATGTATAATATATGCTACTTTTACCAATTAACTGAAAAAAAACTTACTATGCAACGATACATAAATTATTAAAAAATCATAACCGGATGTTATCAAAACCAAAACTAAACTATTCCTGCTAAAAAACTTATTATAAAATTATCGCTTATCGAACTTTATTATTCTGATATCAATTATGATCAGCTGCCAAAGTTAATATTGTTTACCAATAAGGAAATAAAAGTTAATTTTATCAAGGTCTCATCATGGTCCACAGCTTAACATACTAAATAGGTCATGAATGGTAAATTACAAAACAAATTTAGTTGTGACTAAAGTTGACTATAATTTGAACAAACCTAATTATAAACTAATAATTTTTTTTTATTAAAATTCAATTGACAACACTCGTTATTACATGTATGATCGGTATTGACTTAATATTACTATATACTAACATAATACACCGTATCGTGAATTCACAGATGGAATTTAACAATTTGAATCAAACAAATGAATAGAACAAATGGATGACTCATTTTATACTTTTTTAGTGCAACCCTTTAAAATTTTATACTAGCACTCAGAATTTCCCAATAATACAATAAAAATAAGCAAAAATATTTTTTATGTAAGGTCAACGACTTAGTAAAATACGACGTCTCCGTAACCCTAAATTCTGAACAAACTTTATCATTTTGTAATTTTGTCCGCAGATGGGTTAAATGAAGCAGATGACCAGTCAACATCAGCTTCCTGGTGGTCGGCAGGCACAGCAACCCCTTTCCGAGAAAGTTCAAGTAATTCATTCGCGTCCACTCATGGAATCGTCCAGACTCACCCATCTCTGGACGACCCGTTCGGATCTTTCGGATCCATTGGGAGCACAGTTGGGCCGTCTTCGAATCCATTCGCACAAACTAGCGGCAGCGGTCCGCTAAGTGGTGGCATTCGAAACAAACCCTTACCACCTTTGGCTAGAAGTGCCAATGGAAAGCCTAATCTAAAACACTTGGACTTCACAAGTAGTGCCACAGCTGAATTAAGACGAAATCCTGCACTGTCTGCCCCCGATGAGTGTGCCAGAGCTTGCAGAGAAAATGAACCACCGAGAATATGTTATTATCACTTCACGCTTGAATTGTACACCGTATTAGGAGCGTAAGTATAAATTCATTTATATATTAATATTAAAAACCATAACTATACAAAGCATAACATATATATATATATATATCCAATGCATTAAAATCTGTAGGTAAGCCTAAATCATTAAATCAAGGAAACTGTAATAATTCGTTCATTTCTTAATAAAAGTTTATTCTCTTTAATTAAAGTGGAGAAATACATATCTTTTAAACTTCGTTTAGTATAATTACACCATGTTGATACGGATCGTTACTCTCTATAATCTCTGTATTTAAAAAAATTAAACTAATTAAAGGAAATGAACGTCATCTTTACGTAATATTAAATAAAATAACATGTTCTCAAAAATACATATAAATAAAATTAAAAAAAATATCTACTACATATATTTATCATAATTATAACAGGCCTTGCAAAATTGCGAAATTAATAAGAATTATAATGAATATGGCCTGCAGTAATAAATTTAAAAACTGTGTACTAAAAACGTTTACACTCTGTCCATTAATTATCTTGAGGAATAAATGCAATTAAATTAGTTTTGCCCGTATTGATTTTTATATGTGTATATTACAGAAGTATACTTTCGCCAAGTGATTCCATTCAGTACAAGCGACTTATATTAAGATACTTATGAATATTTTGCACACAAGATATACAACATATAGATAAAACAAATTTCAAGTATATTTTTCCACAAAAAAAACAACAGTTCTAAAACTACAGGAAAAATCCTTATTTATTAAACGCAGTGTTGATTCATTTCCGTTACAGAAAAACAATATTAAAGCGAATATCCTTTGGAAAAACTCTTAAAACAATGTAGCTACACAAAGTGGTATTGTTTTTACTTTAAAGGAAATTGATTATTACATCAACCAACAAAGGCCTTTGCCTTCAGAAGTTCTCAGAGTGACATTGCATTGAAAAATAACGGCCCACTTATTTATAGACCACAATAGTTAATTAGGATATCAAGAGTGAAATTAAGTACTCTTGAGTACCCAGTAACCTGTAAGATATGTTGAAGTTACCTTAAGATACTTTAAAAAGAAGTGATGGTGATCACTAAGTTGTTACTACGAGTACGTCACCATAATCAGCATATCAACATTATATTAAGAAATTAAACATGAGTAATTCTTACCTAATACAAAGTTATCTGTGATTCATCTAGACCACGAATCTCATATGTTTCTAAAATATATGTATAGAAGCTCACGCAAAGTCGTGATACTATTCAAAAAGAACGACCCACCGACCGACTTTTTTATTCGCACATTTTACGCTTTGTTTCACACGGGCTGCTAAATACAAGACTCAATGCCGCACACAACTACATGGCAAGTGATCCAAATTCCTTAGGGGCACGTAATTGATAGGTGACGGCATAGACCTTATGCAAACATTGCCTTTTCATGATAGCAAATACTTAGGAAATTGTGTTGCAACCAAAAGAAACTGATAAATACAACTGCTTGTCATATTGCTCCAACTTATGTCATAATCGTAAATGACCCACATATTTTCGACTTACCTATTCATTTGTTGTCTATTTCAGGGCTTGTCAAGTGTGTACGCCTAATGCAACAAATGTGGTATGGTCTCACTGCCAGTGCGTCTTAGCCGATGGTGTAGAACGAGGTATCCTTACTGCAAACAGAATGTTACCAGGACCCTCTATCCAGGTCTGCGAGAATGACAAAGTTGTTATCGATGTAGAGAATCATATGGAAGGTATGGAGGTAACAATTCATTGGCATGGAATCTGGCAGAGAGGATCCCAATACTATGACGGTGTACCATTTGTTACACAGTGTCCTATCCAACAAGGAAATACTTTCAGGTATAATTATATTAATATTACATATTATCAATATTACTTTATTTATTTACACTAGAATTCGAATAAACCATTCTAAAAGAACTTAGTACTAAAGACCTTTTCTGATAGACTAATCATGTTACATTCATTTTGATTATAGATTCTTTTATAAATTCTTTATTCTATATAGTACTAGTACCTAATAAATTTCATAAGGTCATTTTGGTATTAAAATCCATATTAAAAAAGACTCACCACTTTTAAATTATATTTTTCAGATATCAATGGCAAGGTAACGCTGGTACTCACTTCTGGCACGCTCACACCGGTCTTCAAAAACTTGACGGATTGTATGGAAGCATTGTCGTTCGCCAACCACCATCCAAAGATCCGAACAGCCATTTATATGACTACGATCTGACTACTCACGTCATTTTACTCAGCGACTGGCTTCATGAGGATGCGGCTGAGAGATACCCTGGTCGTCTCGCTGTCAACACTGGTCAAGATCCCGAATCTGTTTTGATCAACGGAAAGGGACAATTTAGAGATCCTAACACTGGCTTTATGACCAATACTCCATTGGAAGTATTCACGATCACACCAGGAAGGAGATACAGATTTAGAATGATCAGTGCTTTTGCTTCAGTATGTCCTGCACAGTTAACTGTTGAAGGTCACAACCTAACTATAATTGCTACAGATGGAGAACCAGTGCAGCCAGTTCAAGTGAACACAATCATATCATTCTCAGGTAAGGAATTTAAATCTATAATATATTTATCTATGTGATTAAAGAAAGTAACCATTATACGTGTCAGAGATCGACAGTGTGTATTAAATTTTGAGATATTAAAGAGTATATTGCTAGGAATAAGAAAGGCTAATTAAAACGAAACATTCTTCCTGTATTAGCACCGAGACTAGATCTGATGTTGATAGACAAAACAACTTGTCATACTACTGCACAACTGGGGTAATCAGATAATGCATAAATAATAAAACTGTTATAAGGTATTTTTCCTTCATAAACTAACTACTTAAACATTGGTCTTTAATTTTAATTAATGCATTTCTGTATATATATATATATATTTGGCTTACATATTGTGTATCAGTTACCAATAAAAAAAATAATATTAAAAATATAATTATAAAGAAAGTACTGTTTGTATTACGGTATGTACTATTTCTATACATTATATACTAAATTGATATAAAGTACATATGTCTTTACGTATCATTACAGGCGAACGTTACGATTTTGTTATTGAAGCAAATAATATTCCTGGAGCTTACTGGATCCAAGTCAGAGGCCTTGGAGAGTGTGGTACAAAGAGAGCACAACAATTGGCTATCCTTAGATACGCACGAGGACCTTACCAGCCGTCTACCCAAGCACCCACATATGATGTTGGCTTACCACAGGGAGTGGTAAGTTTTTGGAGTAGTGTATATAAAAGAAAAATACTGTATTATATAGTATAGATAAAGGCAAAATTAGTTGAACATTCCTTAATATTGTAAATATATAAATTCCTATAGTAATCGCTACTGATAACCCACAATTTTATTTATATTCTGTAAGATCAATTAGTTGACAACATGAAGTTTTCGTCACAACCGTTAATACCTACTTGACTGAGAAATTAATGGGCGGATATTGCACAGTGGATATTCCAAGCCAACACAACCTCAATAAAATCTTGCAAAGTCGAGTTCGGTACAATTTGCGTGTTTAAATTTCAATACTAGTTGCTGCATATATATTATACAAAACATGTTTTATAATATTTTACTGTGTACAGTCATATAATTTCCTTAAATCTTGACTGTGTAAATATTTATTTTCATTACAGTAGTTATTATTACCCTAATAATATTATTGTAGTATCCTCTATATTGTAACTATATACTATTTACCACTACTCTAACTGTCACCATAGAATTAATTATTATAAATATGTTGAAGCTGTAATAATGTAAGCACATAGTCATGGACAAGTAGATGAAGTATGATTTTTATTAGAACCTAGTTATTGATACCAAATACAGTAGAAAACATGTAGATTATGCACCTTTATATTAGTAACTGCACGTACCTTTCTCCTCACTAACTATCCAGGTGATGAATCCATTGGACGCGAGATGTAATGTGCCAAGAAATGACGCTGTATGTGTAAGTCAACTGAGGAATGCAAGAAATATTGACCCCGCCATTCTTCAGGAGAGGCCGGATGTTAAAATATTTTTGCCTTTCCGTTTCTTCCTATACAGACCCGAAATGTTGTTCCAACCGAACACATACAACCGATATTTAGGTAAGTTTTGATATAAATATGAAAGTAATCAGTATAGTAATGACAATATGATATTTAAAATCATTTTAAAATTCACAGTTGCCCCTCAGGGAGACCATGTAATCAGTTTAATCGATGAAATTTCCTACATGGCTCCACCGGCGCCATTAATTAGTCAGTATGACGATATCAATCCAGAACAATTCTGTAATGGCGATAACCGACCAGCCGACTGTGGTCAAAACTGTATGTGTACCCACAAAGTCGACATACCGCTCAATGCTGTGGTAGAGATTGTACTTGTAGATGAAGGTATGTTTATTTAATATATGCCCACGATCTTTATTATTTATACGTAATTATTATTTGCCGTTAACTTATAATAATAAGTGTTAATAATGATTTTACTACTTTTCCAGTTCAAATCGCAAACTTGTCTCATCCGTTCCACTTGCACGGATATGCTTACAACGTTATTGGTATCGGTCGATCGCCCGACACAAATGTCAAGAAAATCAACTTGAAACATGCCCTTGACCTCGACAGACGAGGTCTCCTCGAACGTCATCTGAAGCAAGGGGATCTCCCGCCCGCCAAGGATACTATTGCCGTACCAAATAATGGCTACGTCATCCTTCGTTTTAGAGCCAACAATCCTGGATTCTGGCTTCTTCACTGTCACTTCCTTTTCCACATAGTGATTGGCATGAACGTGGTACTGCAAGTCGGAACCCAGGCTGATCTTCCCCCTGTACCTCCAAACTTCCCAACATGCGGCGACCACCTCCCACCAATCTCGCTCAACTAAATCGGTTCCTATAACAATTTCCAATTCTTGTACTGGCAGGAATAAATAAATCAGTTGATTAATTATGTTAACTAAGTGTAAATTTATGTTTGTTATGTGTGATGTGTTCGGCTGATTCGAAGTGCTCGATTCGGCCGTATGTGTTTATTTTGTATTCGAATGATTCCACGAGAGTTTTGACGGTCTTGTGATTTTATTTAAGGTGATACTCTTTGTTTTCTTCGAGAATACTTCAACACCATTTTATGCCATACTCGGTGATATTTATGTAACCTTAATTATATTGCCTTAAAATATAATATATCGTCTGAGGCTCGTGTATCTGTAACTTCTTCTTATACAATAAGGGACCCTTTCTCTTGACATGAACTTGTTTGTTCTGTAACTAACAACTTGCCATTTTATAGTTCACCAAGGATATTTATTACGTGTATATATTTAAATTGTACTAGAATTATTTTCTTAACATTTTAGGTTTTTGTACCCGTTACTAACCAAATACTGCATGAAACACAAATTCTTAATAGGTGTATATAAATAGACAGCAATACTTGTAAATACACAATATAGTTTGCAAAAACGACATAAATTCCATAGGCATTGAAGACTGTAAATAAATATGTTTAGATAATAACCGTGTCTACCGAAATCGTTACCATTTTCTTGTTACCATTATATTAAGGTAAAACACTTGAATAACTGAATTTGTGCCAACTGACATTTAAGAAATGTACTGGTATACCACTAGTCTCCAAAAAAAAGTACGAGTACGAAATTCAATGTTTGTCTAGAATTATACGATTAGAAATATTGCTGATAGTACCGTACTTTAGCAATGAATAATAATAACATTCTATACTTTAGATTATTATAAGAAAATTGTAAATTTTTATACCATTTAATAAATTTTATAAAAATGAACATTACTATTTATTTTCATGAATCAACAACCTTGTACATAGTTATATTATTGTTGATAACTATTGTACCTGCTGCGCTACATTGTACCTTAATTAAGTAATGTCCTTATTACTGTATCTATTGTAAATAGGAAACTGCTACATAATAGTTACCCAATATTACGTAACAATATATTAATATAAATCTACACAAATTATTAATATCCACACCTTAAGATTATTTGTATTAGTCATATTACCTTCCCCTGTAATATTAGTGAATGACGGAACCACCAACTCACATGGATACAGGTTGTAAAATTATTTTATTTTTAATGCTTGTAAATATTACACAAAGCTTCCTTTAAGATATTATATAGAAAATCAACAACTTATTTACGTTTAATTTAAATCTACTAGATCATGAATCCGCTGGATGCAATTTGTGACAAAAAGAGGAATGATGCTGTGTGTGTGAGTAATCTGAAGTCGGCGAAACCAGTGGATAAAGCACTCTTGCAAGAAAGACCTGATGTTAAAATATTCCTCCCATTCCGTTTCCATTTCTATAAACCGAAAGATCTTTTCAAGGAGAATACATACAGGAATTTCTTAGGTAACTTTAGATTTAAGTATATTAAGTACCATCTACTATAAATTATGCAAATTTGAACGGATTTCAACGAAATTTAATTAGGCCATTACTTAATCAGAAATTAATAAAATAGACAAACTATAGCTTATATATATAACGTACCATTATTATTATTTGTATAATAAATTATTACTTATGTCACGTTTCTGATTTTAAATTTGATCATCAGTTTGTTTGAATTTAAAGTTAAACATCAAAATTAACTACAGTATTTCTGTAGAACACACTAATTCAAGTGGTAAAACTTCCATATTTTATTACAATAAAAATGATATCTACAATACTGTTCCTTTATATAGGCACAGGATGATTGCCATTCCCGTTACATGAAAACAGAATGAAATTTGACTGAAATGATAATGATAACAATGATCTGAATGATAGGCAGTTAATTACAATAAATTTCAATTATGTTCCAGTGGCTCCTGGTGGTGATCACGTAATCAGTTTAGTTGACGAGATATCGTACAGGGCACCGCCCGCGCCTCCGCTCTCACAAATGCACGAGTTGTCACCAGAACTGTTCTGCAATGGTGACAACCGACCCGCCAACTGCGCTGTTGACTGTCGCTGCACGCATATGATTGACGTGCCACTTAATTCTATCGTGGAGATTGTACTTGTCGATGAAGGTAAGTCCTATTATATAATCAAATGAACTATATGAATTATGTATTCATAGTCGAAATCAAAATAATTTATTCCTAGAAAAAAAATATCACTGTCTCTACCATTCAGTTAGCTAGCTACCTCAGTTGAAAAGAAGTGGCAATAATATCAACTGAAACAATTTTTACGGTACAAGCAGTATCATTTCTATTGAAATAGTAATTGAAATTATCAACCCTAAATTATTGAAATCTGAATAATTACAGCAGACTACAGTTAAATATAAAATATATCATGAATATTTACACAAGACTAGCAAGAGCTGTTTTAATGTTTCAAAGAAACACTTTTTACAATTCGCAGTGCAATCGCCGAATCTGTCACATCCCTTCCATCTCCACGGAGCATCATACAACGTCATTGGTATGGGACGTTCCCCAGATAAGAATATCAAGAAAATCAATCTAAAACATGCCCTAGATCTTGACAGAAAAGGATTATTGCATAGACAATACAATTTACCACCGTACAAAGATACGTTAGCAGTACCTAACAACGGATACGTTGTTTTAAGGCTAAAGGCTGATAACCCAGGTAAAAATATTAATATATTATCAACAAGAAAGCTAGGGAAAGTAGTACCTAATATGCTCGGCGTAGTAAATTCTAGTAATAATAACATTCACAGCCAGTTTATATCAAAGAAAGGGAAAACAAGTCGTGTGGAGCTAGATGAAGTTTAATTATCTACATACTCGTACATATATACATATCCGTTTACATACAGTTTTTTTTAAATTATACCTGTCCAGTGATTTGTATGCCCACAATTTATATATTACTATTATTTAATGTAGACAATAATTAGTAGCCTTTGGCTCATTAATATTGTACAAATAGTTCACCGCAAGCAATTGTTAGTGTTAGCATTGCTGTGATTTTTATAATATCTTTTATTTTTATACTTGTAACGAAAGTTTGTAAATATTAATGTGTAATATTATTTTTTTTGTAAATTAGAATATTCTAATAATACATTACGTACTAATTTCGATAACATTTCAGGTTATTGGTTGTTGCACTGCCACTTTATCTACCATATAGTGATTGGCATGAATCTCATACTGCACATAGGGACGCAACGAGACCTACCACCTGTCCCGCCAAATTTCCCGCGATGTGGGCACCATTTGCCTGCGATAACACCAAGCTTCCCCTTGATTCATCATTGACCAACGAGAGGTTGATGGGTTCAGTTGATCTCTCGACTTAATGCCGAAACATTTCCACTAGTTCCTTTAGTTAGCCTGAACTATTGAACCGGCTTGTGTTAATAATGTGTACATTTAATTCACTGCTCCTTTTTTTCCTTGAGAAATGCAAGAATTGTTACTAGATGTTTATTGTATCTCGTATATTAAATTTATTATAAATAATATACTATTAAGAATTAGAAAAGTACGAGACTATCAGAGGAATAGGTTTTGCAGATTAAAAGGATTAAAATGGTGCAATCGAAATAATATATAATACATAATTTAGGATATAGTTCCTAAATTCAGATGGAAGGAACTAGTTGAAATGGTTCCTCGTTATGGCTACAAGCCAAATACGTATAGAATTTTAAACTCGTACTGCCATATTTTGTTCTACTGTTTGAAATATGAAATGACGTACGAACGAAAACGAATTTATATCTTGTATATAAGGTGCTGTTTTTTATTAAATAGCCATCTTAGTTTTAAGAAGCCAAAGTTTATATAAAACCTTACATATAATTTTATATTATTTAAATGACAATCATATAGAGTCAATAACCTTAAGTAAGGTAACAGATTTTCTAGCTATTTTTTACTGAATATGTTTATTTACTACCATCTAGGTCAATAAACATAAAATTGTTAATATTTTTTACTTGTTAAACTGTAATCAAATACAAAATGAAAGTGAACCTTTTTACTTTTTAAAATAAATACTAGCTGAATTATTGCCAATGTACTCGTAATAAAAAGTAATAATATTTTCTTGTCCTGTCAAATTAAGTCAATTGTAACATACAAATTTTATTTCTAAATATTTTTGTACTAATAATATTAAATATGTTTTGTAAATAATATGTACTTACAGTGAAAATTTAACTGCATACATGTCTATAGATAATTGTAATTATTTATGTTATTTAATATAATCTCAATTTATATTATTTCTGTTATTTATAGATTTTCATTAAATTTGTACAACAATAGATATTGACTAAAATACTTCATAAACTGTCACGTCTTTTTGTCACTTATTAATACAAAATCGTAAATATGACTCATAATCTTGGTTCTCGAACTATGTCTTAATTATTATCGAAACAATAATTAAAGGCATAGTTCGAATTTTCATTCTCATATAATATTTTTAATATTGTTATATACCAAAATATTTCGGTAAATTGCTTTTAGACAATATTTACGTATACTTATCAGTTTCTATTTACTGTTATACTATAATTTATTAAGTTATAAAGAAGAAAAGTCAAGTCTTAATTTAGTTATCGACACAGCGTACATTTTGGATAAAAATATACGCCTGTGGTAGACGTGTGTCAGTTCTTGCAGTGTTGTATTTTTCATTTGTTATGTCACATACTACACTTTTCTTTTTTTTTATCATTATTTTTACTTTTTGGTTCCCTGTAATAATAAGATTTTTGATGTCTTTAATCTTAATTTCTACATTTTCTTCTCTCTCTTTCTACTTATTTATTTCTTATTCTATCTTTATCTAACTGTTCTATTACTTGTCACACATATTTCTTTTAATGTAAAAAAATACTCTTTTTTTCATCTTGATTTTATTTGATTCCAACTAATGTTTATGAAATATTTGCTTTTAACACTGCACGTTTACCAGATTTTTTTAGCATTACACCTTTATTTCTTTTTATCATTTACATTTCAAACTGATTTTATATAATCTATTCTATTTGTTTTTGTAATTACACAGTGTTAAGACCAATAACAAATAAGTACGTTATCAGTGCGGAGTGTTGATTATTATAAATGTGATTTGATTATAATAATAAATTACAGAATAATAATGTAATAGTCATAGTTAAATAAATTTGTTATAAAACTTATTGTTTTTATTTCCTCATCGCCTGATCAGAGCGTTGTAAAAAACGACTAAAATTACCTGTATTAAATCCTGACTTAAAATCGAGATAGACTTTGTATAAATTCGCTTAGGTGGTTGCCTCAGTCACCGTGGATCAGCTCCCAAGAAACTCTTTGTAAGCTATGTTTTGTTTAAATGGTGACATAGGGCAGTGAAATTACGGGATAAGAGGCATGACTCTTAGTCCACCGAAATAGCAATGCTCAAGCGGTATCACGGGCGTCACATAATAGGTAGTTCTTTTTACTTGCATTATAGGTTATTATACAATAGTAAATTCAATAAAATATAGTAAATTTATTATCACTCACCTTGAGTGATAATAAATTTTAGTGATTTAATTAACTAAGGGTTGTAATAATAGAGAACAAACACTTAAAAACATACTAATATAAAACCGACGAAAGCATGATCTGAGCAGATTCGTTACTCAAAATTGGTTGGCCTACTCTAATATTGTAATCACCCGCATACGTTACGAAATTATTATCATTATCAGCAACTAAATACTGCAGATAGATCATTGGAACCTCACAATAGAATATATCGACAACATTTTCCAATTAACAACATACATACTAGTATTAAAATCAACACATACCTACCTCTAAGACCCTATCCCTTATAAGATAGTGTAACGTTACGGAGAAATAAGAAAACAATGGAGAAATATCCAAATCAATAAAAAAAAACATCATAAATATATAGAAGACTCGAGTCTTCTAGGAAGTTGAATTGAAGAAGCGAAGACAGGAAAGGAGTCGGCAATCTGTGAAGACACCTTCATTTCCATTACCATACCGTTTTCCATTAACATGAATAAAGATTTTTTCATTTATTTATGTTTTTTACAAAACTAGCAATACACAGAGGCTCTACAAGAATCCTCAGATAATTTGTATACTTATTTTCCTCCAGTAGATATAATATATAATAAGAATTATTATGTGGTATAATAAAAAAATATATAAAATACTTACCACATGTTGAAAACCACTTCAATGTAGTTAAAACTTACACTGATCTCAACACTAAAATTTAAATAACCACTGAATACCATAGGAGTAGTTATACAAATTTTGTTCACATTATATAGGTATTCACAACATATCAAATGAATTTACAAGTGTTAATGTTTTTTGCTATACAATTTCCGGATATTATATCTGGAAAAAACGACTATATAATAGGTATGTTACTATTTACATAACAATGCCCTAATCCATTCCATAACATACATACGGAGAGTTACTTTATTTTTTAAAATAAAAATAAAAACAGCAAACATTCAATGCAAGAAAAATTTAAGTAAAATAAACCAATAATGAACAATAATAATATGTCCTTATGTGAGCCATATATAAATCTATCAATATTGATTTATTATTTTTGTCGTTCTTTTATCGCCAAAATCGAAGGTTTTCAACTTTAGCATTTCGTTATAAAAAAATTTCCTAAGCCTTATTTATTTATTCAAATTTTAATATACGGAAAATATAATAATAAACATACAACGGACTTAACAAGTAAACAAAGATTTCTAAGGTAATTTTTATTAACACATTCATAATTTATTTTGGTTATTATCTTCCTACAAGTCTATGCTTTGTTATTCTATGCTATTTTAATAGTTAATGAATTCCTTCAGAATTGATATATTATACTTAATATAATTTATTGATTGCACACAAAGCGCTATCCCTATATGTTATATAGTTTTAATACAATAAATTAATTAATAAACAAATATAATTACTAGGTGAATCTGACGGAAGAATAATAGGAGGCCACGAAGCTAAAATACACAGTCATCCATATATTATATCTTTGCAGTTAGATTTTTGGTTTGTACGCACACATATATGCGGTGGTTCATTGATTACTGACAACTGGGTAAGAACGTGTTCTATATTTTGTTTCAATAAAAAAATATTATATTATATTATATGTCGTGGCGCTATAAAATATTTTCAAACCATATGTATTCGTATGTTCTATTTTTATAATAATTTATTTATCGTAATATTGAATAGCTAGAATAGGAAGGCTTTCGTAATTATTAATTAAGTTCTATTGACAGTAACTTAGGCTGATACAATATGATATTTATTTAAAATATTATGTGATATTACCAATTTTTTTTTTACTGTCGTGTTATTCTAAATAAGAAAACTCCTATATCAGAATAAGTAAAATAAGATAAGGAAACGATATAGTAGTATATTTAGTATTAATTAATTTTATTTGTTACTTTTTCTTCCATAACTATTCTATTTTCTTGTAGATCATAACAGCCAGCCATTGTATAACAGGATCATGGTTAATTGATTGGTTGAACATAGATGCCGTTGCAGGTACACATGATGTGGATTTCTATGATCCAAACACACAAATAATCAGGATTATCCAACGTATACCGCATCCGGATTATGCAGGGTATTATCTTGTTTTTTATATATATTAAATTCTCGTGTACCAATGTTAGTTACCATACTCCTCCGAAACGGTTTTACCGATTTTTTACAGATTTAAAATTTTGTGTGCATATAGGGTTGGTCAGAGAATCGGCAACTATCAATTTTTCTCACCCCTAAGCGATAAAGGTTGCCCAACATTTCATTAAAAGGTCCTCTAACATTTTTTTTATTTATTTATAATATGGCATTAAAATTACGTACAACTCTAAATTTTCACCCTTCTAGAACCAACTCCGATTTTTAATGGCGACGTTTGCCGATATAGCTAGTTGATTTATATAATTTCTTTAACACACTATATGAAAAGGGTAAAATGTATCTACAAATGACACATCCGATTGTTGTATCAGTACACATATATGTACATTATTCCTTGAATATCCATTCTATATCTAAAATCTGTGAAAACAATTTTAAATAGGTATATTTAGATAAAATCTTGTATAATATATTAATTTATATGTACAATTTCAGCGGCGTCGGGCCCCACGATATAGGTTTGTTAAAAACTGAATATCCATTTACGTTGACAGATGAAATCCAACCAATAAAATTAACAGACACGTTTAATATGAAAGACAAAATAGCTCTGGCTGGTTGGGGCGTATTTAGTACGCTTTTGTTTTTACCAATAATGCCTAGTAAACTACAAGAGGTTGTAATGGAATATCTGCCATATAAAGGTAACTTATGACTGTTTTACATGCTTCAGATAACAGGTATATTTTACATCTTTACTAACCCTCATTATGTAGAAAGAGGAAAAGATAAAATGTATATAAAAATGAGTATTTATACACCAGTCTATCTTTCACAAATTCTCAAATGTTGCGTCCTTTCATTCAGTTGGAGAGAAAGAGTTTGAAAAAAGGACTCATAAGGAGAATAATATTTGTTATTATATTCACACTTATTATTTCATAATGTCTATTACAGCTGTTCAACTATTGCAGTAACTTTTCTTTCTACCTATTATTTCCTTCATCTGAAAGAAAGTAACGATACCGTCGATAACAATTTTAGTAATTTTTCTGAGTCTCTCAACCTTTAAAATTTGTATAACTATAAATCGAATTAAATTCTTCTATAAACTTATTAACAATTCTTCATATCTGCTTCCATGTATATAAGTTTCGTTATTATTAATATTAGGTTAATATATAAAGTAACTTAATATGTGACTTGTTGTTAATATTTACTTAATACACATTTAAATTACTGAAGTTTGCGACTTAATGGGAGGTATGCTTAATAGTTTAACCAGTAATGTAGTATTTAATATCCAATTTTGATATTAAATAATTTAATTTCAGATTGTTATAACGCATTAGAAAAGATAGTTAAGGAAAGCGGCGAAAGCAATGCTCTTGTGAAGGACAGTAACCTATGCACTGGTCCAATAACAGGTGGAATTGCGGCCTGCAGTGGAGATTCTGGAGGGCCCTTAGTACAATACGTAACAAAAATTACAAGAAATAATAACACTTTAGAATATTTTGATGAAAACCTAAATAATATAGATTATGAAGACATTGGAAATTATAGAAATTTGAATAAAGTAACACCCTTTCCAGTCCTAATCGGTATTACGTCTTGGGGTATAAGTCCTTGTGGTGAAGTAGGCGCACCTACAGTTTATACAAATGTATCTAATTATATTGGATTCATAAAGAGTGTTACGGAATTAGGTACAATATCACTATAATGAAATAAAAATAAACGCGAAAGTATTTTTTTATTCACTTATTAATAAGTTAATCACATTTTTAATAATATAAACCTTAGCAATACTCTACAAAATTGTTTTACTCTGCAGAGTATTTTATAAAATAGTTCTATCTAGAATGAGTTTCCTGAAATAATTCCCTTAGAATAAAAAATATTATTCTTCATATTAATATAGGTACATTTATGGTTTTGACAATTGCAACAAAATTTAAGTTAAAATTTTATACTTAAGCTATTTTATTTTTTAATCGAAGAGAATTTATACTTGAAACGTATTTTACTATATACAATGTAAGTAAATAATAAATTAACAGTTTAAAACAGCCAGTTAAGTTAACAAGGTTATTTAAAGTACCCAATATCTTTAAAGTCTGTTTTAATAATAATTTTCACATACTCATGGATATACTTATGCTATTACTTCAATAATTTTAAAATCAGTCTGTAATTAACTAAAACGTTAATTTAGTAGAACATCTGGAGGCTTGTAATTGCCACATAACGATAGCGCTTTTATAATTTGTTCTGGTAAAGGTAATGATCTGGGCACACTTATGAGAATTGCTGTTGGTAAGGAGGATAGACTGCAGGACCGACACTCCAGCATCCAGCTACCTCCGCGGTCTGTCCTCAGTCTCACCACTGTGTATCCTTTATTCGGTACAGTTACAGTGTCCTTTACAGGCGGATTTATCAAGTTCCTGAAAAATAATTTATATAATTCTACCTTCGAAATATCTACCCTCTGGTTTACCACCCCACCGTGACGAGTTTAATCCACTAAATAAAACTCAATTATAATATAAAAACAAATATTAGAACAATGTCATTGATAGAGTACCCAAAAGGCTGTTAGCGTTTCTTATCGGTGTATTTAATTATTGGATTTCAAATGTTTATTATAATAAATTACCTGTCAATTTTTCGAGACTCATCGAGTTTTTTAAATTCCGTTAGCGATATGGGTTTTTTATCAAGATTCTGCCCTGTTGCAACCACTTGCATAGTAAATCCATGTAAATGGAATGTATAAGAATCGTTACTACCGAAACCTGAAATGTAAAACAAAATATCATTTGTAAATGTAACTATACATATCTACTGAGTTTTTCAAACTGCAAAAACCAACTTATATAATTCGCCTAAACCAACTTATATAATTCGTAATTACAAGTAAACATATATCAGTTAGGATATCTAATTAAGCATTTAAGGTAGATTCTAATGGTAAATGTTGACAGAAATGTAGTTTACATTCTAAACTACAAACAAAATTTCGTGGACCTAGCTGTTTTTATACATATATTTATACGTAATAGTGTATGTAATTGTAATTACTGTGAAAGGCACAATAGATAGTTTCCATTCATTCATGAAAAGTCGATCTCCACGCGGAACAATTCCCCACGACTAGGATAACGTGACTTCATGCTCATTCTATGATCCTACACTGTTTTGCCACCAGCGAATACAGTTAGCATAAGCACGATTCCGTAAGAAATTAATAAGCATATTTACCTTCATTCAACAAGACTAGTTCGACTACAGCACCCTCGGGAGAAGTTAGAATCTGTACACACTGGGGATCCTGTGACTTGTTCTCTTCTCCAACTGGGCAGACATAATTCAATTTCGCATATCGAGGACTTAAGATAGCCGGTGTAGCAGGATAGAGAAAACTTTTACCATTTATTTGTACAACACCGTCCTGTAATGCTAAAGAAAAAAAATATATTGTATAACAAATTTCTAAATAGAAAAAATAACTTTCACATTCATACACTCCGATATGTTTAGGAATACCAACAAGTCTTTTATAATATCTAGATTTAGTTTATTAACTTCGATACTTTGTATATTTGATTCCTTACAAGATATTCAATATGATTTTCGTCATACAGCTTGCTTAAAGAGTGTGATCTGGCTGGGAATCATGACATAGTACGTGGCAAATCACACAATAAGTCCATCCTTTTGGAGGCAAAATAATGAAATAATTTTATATTTAACAAACTGTGTACAGTACCACATTTAACAACATAATCTATAAAATCATAACTTATCTAGCCATTTTTACGTGAAACCACAACACACAAACAGATACTCAGATGGTTTACGCCTCATCACGTGTTTATGTGTTTCTTATTTATAAAGATTATTATTAATATATAAAGGTCATACATAGTGCTGCAGGAAAGAACGGTTTCTTTGGCACAGCATCGCTGACATAACGAAAATCATTCTCACTGTCCTCGTGTTTGACAACCTTCTTGTCGATACTCAAATATACAGTTTTCAAGGGTTTGTCATAGGCTACATTTTGTTTAGACTTCAGCATTTGTCCAAAGACTGGACGTCCAGTGTCTCTGCCACTTTCAGTGTTTATTGGATCTGCCTGTAAAGAAAATTTAATATAATATAACAAATAAGAAATCAATGTTATATTATATAAGTAAAATACATGATGGTCTAAATTACAAATTCTCGAAATCAATATACAAATAAGTCGGCTACATACATCAGTACTGCAACACGAGATTAATGCAGATATAAATTCATTTATTCAAGAAGCAACTTATCTTGTTATAATATTTTAAATAAATTTTAATATAATTAGTTAAAATAACTAGCTCAACTGATTAGTAACTAAACAGGCTGTTATTTATTTAACTAATTAATTAGATGATTAATTGTGCTCTATAAAAATATATTTATATTTATATAAACATGAAATGTGACCACTAATATGAATACATATTTAAACTGTATGAAAACAAAGGTTGGAATAAAAGTAAAAGTGTATTTGTAGTAAGTATATTTAAGTGAAAAATACTAAAAGTATTTTTATATACAATTAATAAAAATAATGAGTAACCTGTTTGTTTTGTAACATCGTGGTATAGTTGAAACCGGAATATATTAACATAGCATCGGTGGCCAGGCCTGCGCAAGCGCCAATTCCGTGAACCTTCAACCAGTATCCGCCATTTTCCTGAGACGCACGAACTACGACATCCATTCGTTCACCTGGAATTTATAAAAGTAAAAAAAACTTTTGTAACATCTGCATAACATAAGGCTATGCTTTGTTTATTTAAACGCGCTAATTCGGGAAAAATCAGGCGAATTTGATTGTTTAATGTTTTTTTTTCCTATTTCTGGGGAACTTAAAATTTTACAAATGTACACTATTTTTATTATATAGTGCTACAACCATTAGGAAATAGTTTAAATAAACTTTTAAACAAGGGTGACTATTGCCTGATTTTGTATTATAGGAAAAAAATTAATAGAATATCAGAGAACATTAATCACATGTTGTTTATAAAGGTTTTTTATAGAATATCTATCAAATCTATATACATATATATACTATAATACAATATAAATAAATATCTTTTGTAAGGTATTCTTAAAAACTATATTTTTATATTTGTACTCTGTGCGCATTATTTATTATTAAAATTGTTAAGATTATTATTAATTGGAAGGAACCAAACAAATATTAAAGACTACAAAAACAAATGCCCCTTGACTATATATATATGTGGGTATCCATATAGTTATAAAATGTTAAAAATAAAGGTAAAAAATGTGTTTAAAGATAAAAACTAAACACTTTATTCCTAATAGGTTATAAGTTTCTCTTAAGAAGATCGTTTAACAAATTCTATAGACTATGGAAACATTAAAATTATTACCTAGAAAGTGAAATGAAAACAAACTAAAACCTGTTTTATGCTGACCTTAAACTTAAAACCGGTGTTCCAATGCCAAGCGCCTTTCTCCACAAAGAAGATATTTTGTATTCGTTCTGCCAAAACGCGGTCACAAAGAACTCGGAAATTAATGTACTGATATAAAATAGTATGCCCTGATTTACTGACTGACTTTTGAATGCACATGTACACTGAAGATACAAGTAAACAGTAACATTGAAAATAAACAATCATTTATTTTTAGAGTAATAATTAAAACCCTCTATTATTTTTTATTTTACCTATACTCAAAATCAAGCAACTAACATGCTAATTATAGTGTATTCTATATAGAAATTAGCATACTAGATATGAGACATAGATAGTTCTTTTGTGACATACTTTCAAAACCAAATGACTTCATACTAATAATAGAAATTTGAAAGTTTCTACCCACTTTGCAAGTACAAATCTTTAGATTGCTTCTTTACTACTCAATATAAATTTTAATTTCAATTCTATTACGTTTAGTTTATTTCGAACTTTCCTATGAGACATTCTTCTTGTCTCGCCTAGATATTGGAATGTAGTTCTTTATATGTGTGAATTTATATGAAAAACAATTTGTAATTTGATTTTTATATAATCAATTAACCGCGTCGACATTAGTTGCTCATATAAGTACTTACTACCACTTCATTTTTATGCATAATAGGTGGATTTCGCTTGCGATCTATTCATTTCACAATAATAGAACAATAATGACATGACTTTCTCCGTGCCATGACATTGCTTTCATATTGGCAACGCCATTCACTCTCACTATGTGATGTACTCGTAAACATCGGCTTATTTTTATGTATATATATGTGTTGAGCATCATAGTTACAGTTATTGATGACGTGATCATCAATAACAATGACCGTGATTTTCTATCTATTAGAAACAGTGAGAGTGCAAAATATGTTTTCTATAGGGCTCGTATAAGTTGCCTACACAGATTCCTATACTAGTTTCTAAAATCTACTTAACGTGTTGATTATTATAAATATTAGTATCGATACGTTTGTTAAAGAAAATAAACACCAAGGTTCGCAACTGTTGGTAACTCAACAGTTGTAATGCCTGCTCTTGAAACCATCGTGATAGTTAAAGTCATCTAATTTTGCAGTCTTTATTTTTATATTGCAGTACTTACAAATAAACTACCATATTAAATGAAGTGTCCATTATTTCGTACTTAAAAAGTTATTTAGTTACACTTTTATTTATATATATTATAAAAGAATTTCGTCTGTTCACGATAACCTGGTTTTGAGGTTACTGAACGGATTTGTATCCATCAATAGAGTTATTTCTGTGGAAGGTTTAAGTAATGGTTAATTCGTTGAGGTTCTATAAATTGGTTAATAATCGAGCGAAGCCGGAGCATGTCGCTAGTAAACATATACTATTCAAAAATGTCTAACAGAGCCATACAATGCGCAATACTTATAGAATTACCTGGGTACAGTTGCACGCTCCTAGTGACCACCGGTTTTACTGCTTTCCCGTCTGTTGCGATAACCGTCATTTCATGCTTGTCTATACTTGCAACTACGGGACACTCAATAGCAATTGCATTGATCAACCTCAATCTATAAGCGTAGCCTTGCATAACAAACAACCTGAAATAGAGAAGTCGAATAACTTCAAAACTACCAAAGAAGCAAATCTTTGCATTTAGTTATCGACGCTGTTTTTAACAACAACGAGAAATCACTCAGTGGAACTTATATTGTGATCGAATATTCCAAAAGCTAATTCCACTATCTTATGAATTTTAGATAATAGCTATCTGAAATTCATAAGACTGAAGTGGAACTAAATTTCGGGAGACTCGATCATAATGTAATTAGTTCTTTGATCAGACAAAAGGGTCTGTTCAATCAAAATTCAATGTTCAATCTATCAAATGTAATAATAAATCAAATATATGTATATAATAATAAACGTCAATCAACCGGGCCTGATCAATGGGAGAAGTCAGGTCCAATATACGGAGCGTTTAACCACCCGGTTACCTTTATATAAGACCTTCGTGACTATGAAGATACTCCGAATTAAATATTTAGAGCATTTAAAGATTACTATATTTTAATGATTTCATAAATACATACAATCTCGAAGAGATTGCAATGTACCGCCTTTTGTATTTAATTTCTTTAAAAATATTTAATTTTGTTTATTAGTTATGTTCATACTTATATTACGACATATAATCATCTAAAGCCATATCGAAGACGTTATTACCTTAGGAGTATTTACTTTAATAGGGTATTTTTGCTAACTCCAATGTATAATAATTACCTGAAACTTGCTTTAATTACTGTGTACATAGTGTGAAATCACAAAGTAACAGATCTCCTTGTGTAGTTTGCAAATTTTTAAACCAAATTTCTTTTAAATATTACGTTTTTTAAACTATTGCAAACTAAAGTTATAGCAGCCCATATAAAGTGTTAGCCTATTTATATAGTTTAATAACAAAGTAGTAAGTTCCGAAACTAAGTAAAATTATACCGCCCCAAGCTCTCTTCGTGCATAAAGATCCAAGATGTTACACCGCGTAAGTGAAATTTCACTAAAGCGTGAAGATCGAAACGCAACACATGTTGACAGAAATGATACGCAAAATAGAAAATATCTCGCAAGAGCAATTACATACATCTCTCAGTAATAACATTCAACCACAGAACCCATAAAACCATTATGTCGAAGCATTTTCTCTTTCATTCATTCTGCTTTGTATAATGGTATTAATTAAATTGTTTTCCCGCGTAAAAATATAAATTTGTGCTGGACGCACATGAATGTTAGATTGTTGAGGTTACTGTCCCCTGGTGATGATAATGTAGATCAGATTTCAATACAAGCAGCGAAATGTGGACAAGTAATGACTTTATTGCGTTTACCACAACATCTAAATGTCACAAAGTTTTTGACTTTCCCATCCCGAATAATAATCGTGAAATTAATAAATATACTTATTATATATTTTGCTATTATATCACAATTAATACCATATGGCAATAAACAAAACTTATTACTACAACAAATATTCGCAATAACGTACTTGTAGCTGTCTTCGCCTCCATTAATTATAATTGTATCTGGCGCCAGTTGACTCATATCATTGAGATTTGCTGTAAACAGCTTGGGAAACCTTGCACCAATAAGCAAAGTGTTTTCGGAACTTCTATCATAATCGTATAAAGTGGAATGGTGGTCTAGAGGCTGAGGTTGATTCACCACGAATGAACCGTAGACACCATCACTGTGATGAGATACTAGAAACAAACATTACATTACATTTAACATAACATTATATTAATTTACTGACCCTGCAAGCATTATTTTGCCATATAAATTAATATCGCTATTAAAAATAGGGCTTCACGAAACAAGTGAAATTTTAGGGCTGTATGCATTTGCTAAAACCGTATCATGAAAATAAATTGAAATTACATAAAAATTTTAGCCCAAAAATAAACAAGCGATAGACCACCCTTAGACAGAGATAAAAATATGTAGTTTATGTCCTTTTCTTCTATATACAAAAAAACATTATAACAATTGGGCGTTTCAGAGGAGATTTGTTACGAACACTGTTACGAGAATTTTATATATTAGAGATATGTATAATAGTAATATCGTAAACGTCATTGTTCATTATCAATGGAATTTATAATAAGTAAATGAAGTTTTATTGTTTATATATAAAACAACTTTTTTATAATTTAAACACTGTTTTAGATAGAAGCATCTGCAAAAACAACGATTCACGGATCTAGTTAAATTAAATAATTTCGTAATGTACAGTCAACAAGTCCAAGGTAATAAAGTCAAACATTATACATAAGAAAAAATTGTAGGTAAACAAATATAATAAAACTTAAAAAAAAAAACAAATGCCACATTTGGTTACGTACCAGAATCAGCATGATAAAAAAAAGTTCCAGGCGATATCGCATTGAAGATGTAGGTATAACTAGATCCATAAGATATTGGACATTGGGTGACCATTGGAACACCGTCCATATGGGGTGCTACCTGTTCCACTCCGTGCCAATGTATAGCTAGATCCTGATCAGGAATCTTATTCGTAACTTTCACCACTACAAAGTCATTGACACAGACGTTTATTGGAGGCCCTGGAGTGACTCCATTAATAGTAATAGCTGCTCTCCCATTTTCTGTCACAGTGGGCTCTATCACGAAGTTGTATTGACAAAATCTTGGCTCCACATTAAATTTACAAGGTCTGTAGCATGATGAAGCTGAAAAAATTTTTTTTGTAGTTAGAATTGTCTAATACAATTAGAGATGTAACCATAACGTGTTTGTGATAAAATGGAGATGTGCTTATTTTATTTTTAGGAATGTTAAGTTTTTCTATTATCTACACTTTATTTCAAAAACTATTGGTTGGATATTTTGTATCTAGCTTAAGACAACAGAAGTGAAAATAGATAAAATATAGAAGTTATCTGACATATGATACTGAAAACTGTATCTAATCTGTAAACATGTACCATGATAATTTAATTAAAAATAGACAGATTTTTTTTTAAAATATACTAATATATCTTTTAGAAGTCGTAAAATATACTGACATATGACACTGAAAACGAATTTTGCTGTATGTAATAAATACACGTGAAGACATGTAGGCAGCAGTACGTGATAATTTAATTAATTTAGATTACAATATAATATCAGATCTTTTTTTATTGGTATTTTAATATCAGATGCGGTTTGTTATAATAATATCACGTTTTGGTTTCCTAAGAGTAATTTGCCTGTCATAAGAGACTAACTACTGTAGAATGAATTTCTAATCCCTATTTATTACTTTTTTTCTACATTTAACCTCAATAGTTATATATAACTTTAACAGGACAATATTAATTATTCTGTTGAAAATATATATAAATTATAAATTGATTGTAAATTTAGAACTGGTTACTTTCTTCATGACCTAACTTTACTATTCCAATTATTTAGATGACTTTAAAGCTGCAATTATAATGTCATGTATTGAAATCGATAGACGTTTAGTTCTGATCTATGATTTTCAATTATCGATCATTTCCTAATCCTACGTCTGTTTAATAATATACTTCGACAAGAATTAATAGTTTATAATAATTATATATAACTTTTTTCTACATATTTGCAAATACATAGGTGGATGCTCTATTTCTTAACAACCAAAAGCACAACAGGCGAAATCCGACATTAACACAAGCTCTTTTTTTTAGGCTTCAGAGCGCTGTAACTCTAGTTTGACTGAATAAGCTGAAATTTTATATTTAACAAATATGTAATTGGACGTAGAAAAAAAATAAAATATCCCTAAAAACAGGCCGTCACATAGGAAGATATATATATTCTTTTATTTACGTATGAAATAAGCTAACATTGAAAGGAGAGGAAAAAAAAATTATTGGTTAATTGACTGATTAACATATACTAATTCAATGCAAATTGTTAATAATGTGGGTAGATAATATAGTTAAATATATTCATAATGTTGCCACTGTTCTTAGTTTACTTACAGAATACTTAGATGTGCTATTAAATAGTTATAATATGTACATATATAACTGCATGAGCACTCCATGTAAATTTTCATTTGAAAAAAAAACCATTTGTGCGATATAATACTAAATTGAAACGATCAATATTAAACTTTTAATGTCACGACAAAACTACGAAAGTTAAATGACATTTAAAAAGTTGTAACGAAAAAAGTTTACTGTAAAATCATTACATATTAACATATAAATAATATTTCTTTCATACCTGAATTTTTTGTAGTATCTTCAAGTAGCCAATTGTCACTCATCACACTAAAAGTTTCCAAAGAAGCTCTCCCATTATTGGTAACATTTACAATTATCAATAAAAAAATAACGAATAATTTCATTTTATTAATATTTAAACTTAACACATATAAAGAACACAGATTATATTTGAAATTGATATAATACAACAACAATCCACATTATCACAGTATACACAGCACATTAGAAGGGCGTCCACACTGGTGTATGCTTTGATACTGCCATACAGAGGTCCATACTTCAGATCTCGGTGTGCCGGTATTGCTAAGAATACAAGGCAAAATATACTTACCCTTCTAACCGTTATGGTCTAAATTACATTACCAAATGTACAGCATCATTATCTAGATCAATTTATAAATTTACTGATGCACTTTCGATGAAAAGTTTTACAATATCTTTAATAGTATAGTCTAGTGTCATTTACCTTTCCTTTCTAACCTGTATTTATAAAGTATAATAACAACTATAATATATTAAGTGTATGATATAGATACAATCATATGTATAATATTGCAATATCAATGGTTCTCTCCACTAACTTGAGTAGCTTCTTAAATTCTGGTGCAGAAATACAAATAATGATAAACAATATACAATTGGCATGATAATTGGCAGGGTTATCACAACAAATGGTACATAACTATAAAATAAATGCAATTGGACATGATATTCATATTAAATAAGACATTTTAGTTCTCCAGTGTGGCAACACATGAGAATTCTCTATAAATCACAATATATATGTATATATATATATTGTGTATATTTATATAATGATTATTTATAAATTGTATCAAATATCTGTTATATATACATATGTAAAAAATAATGAATTTTTTATAAAAATAAATAAAATAAATTGCTGTCAGGTGATATCCGTCGTGCTCTTTCCGTATATAGGCGATTTTATCTACTTACCACGTAATTTTGCCTGTTTTCCATTCTTGTTACGTAAAAAATATCGGTAATAGAAAAACAACTAAAATAAGATGTGTTTTATGTATTTTATTATAAACTTTATTCAGATTTATAACAAAATTCATTAGTGAGCCTATAACCGTCTCTCTGATTTAATTTTATCATATTTTTCTTCGAAGGTGACTCTAACCAGTTTAGGGATATGAGGTCGCTCTTGGTGTAGCTTTCTGTCATCCAGTAATTCGGTCAACGATGAGAACAAGTGTTCCACTACCTACATAACTAATTTACGCGGATCGTAGTTTTTAACAGCCTTTATGTTAATACGACAGGATATTGTTCATTTTGTCTGCCCGATGTACGCGTATGAACTTCTACAACTATCCATATCCACTTTATAGACACCGAGTAGAGGAAAGTTGTCTCTAGTTGACATATTGGGAACTCAATAAATAATGTGTGTTTTAAATACATACCAATAAATACAAGAACAATAGAAAAAAAACATAATTTCAATTAAGTCTCCTTATTTACAAAGTCGGCCGTAAATAGATTTTTTATTCTTGTTCTGTTTGCGATTAGAACAAGTAATAACTTGACTCTGCGATTAGATTAAAAAAATTAAAAAAATAATTACACTATACCGTTTCAAGTCTAATCAGTAATTACATTATACCGTTTCATGTCTAATCCTAATCAAAAAGTGCAATTATACATATATCTATCAAATATATACCTACTAAGTCTCTTACCTTATTTAAGATTTTGTTAAATAAAAAATAGAATTAATAAACCATGACATAATTTTTATAATTCATAGAGTTTAAAAATAGTCATCAATATTAGTCTAAATATTCTGTAACATATACTGCTTATAGTTGAACCTACATTTGTGTGTACTAAGATATAAATAAAAATTCTTATCATGTGTCTCATCTCTCTAACATTGTTTCACATTTAGCGAAAGACTTTATATAGTTAACATTAAAAAACTGGTCTTAGAATACAAAACCTCGACATTTTTAAGGCAGCTGATTATTAAGCATATACGAATTATTCTAAATCGGTCTTACAACAATAAAAATGCTAATGTTAAGTAACATTAGAGAATTTTGCAATTGTACAGATGCTGTGCAGTGAGAGATGAAACTATTTCACAACATTGATGGGTATCTCATTGTAATATTTAAGGTCAACATGAAACATTAGAACGTCTAAAATTACTCTAATAGACCTAGGTCTAATAAACCTGATAATACGAAGTCTAGAGACGTATTTACGAAACTGCACGGGTTCCTTTTAAGGAATATAGTCCCCTTCAAACGAGGTTATGGGTCAGAAATTCATTTTAACTATTGGAGAATTTCTATTCCTGGTTGTACCTAATTTTTATTTTTCAATATATAAATAAAAAATACTATTGGTATAGTTACTATTTATATAAAGGTATCTAAATATTGAAATTTAAATAAGTCTAGTAAATAGTTTATTATTAATTTATTTTGATGCATTTTATTTTTATAGTATAATATTTCTTTACTTAATTATAACTTTATACTATTACTTAATATAATTAATACTTTAACTTAATCTCTATGTTCTATGACTAAATATAAGTATAATCAACAACTAAATTTAATATTAAAGGTATTGATACCAAATAATAACTTTCGTCTAAAAGCAAATGAACAAAAAAAATAAGTGTTCGATTTAATGAAAGAAGTAAATCATACCAAATAGGTTCCTTTTGGAACCAATCTTGGATTTTGGAAAAAATCTTAGCGGCTTAACTATCTCCCTGAACAAATAACAGCGCTTCAAATTACATGATTCCAGATTATTAATTTTTTTTTATTATTTTCGTGAAATTCATTTATTACATTTTAAATGCGGTTACAAATTTATAAATCGTTCGCATAATATTAGCAAAACTGTATATGCGTAAAGGTATTATGCCTGCTGCCTTCAACGCAACCGGCTTTTGCGATAGCATCATCATGACAAGAATCATTCTCTTATTCTTAAGAGAAAAGTTCTCCCAGTCGCAACAATATAAGGCCTTTTCATAGAGCTCTGATGCAAAAGTAAGTTTTTCACCTAAGAAACAGTATAAGAAAAATATGATCAACCCATAGAAAATGTAAGGACCGAAATTGATGCTGACGTCGAAAGGCAAAGCGAAAAATAAACATAAAGCAACCGCTGTGTTTCCAAAATCCACAATTAGGACAAAACTGTAAATACTTTGTAACTTTTGCACAGTGTCCAAAATTACTGTATGCCGTTTTATTAAATTCCATAAAAGAATAGTAATCTTATGTTCTAAGACAGAAGGATCTTCAGATATTTTTTCCAAATTTACCACATCTTTGTACAAACATTGATACATAGTAGTTGTGTGAACTGTAAAGAATATAAATAAAACATCGTAGCCTAATACTAATATTACCCCTAGTAATACTTGCACAAATATAACAGCCATGCATATTTGCAGATTTGGGTATCCTGATAATGGATTCAAACCTGTAACAACAATATCAACATCAATATATAACATTTTTTTCATGTAGGTCTATTACAGACTCTTATGCTATGTCAAATCTACCATCAGTTCCGAGTGCTTTCGAACTTAGAAGAATTGAGAAGAAACTCAGCTCTTATTCTTTTCAAATGAGCTGGTACAAGTTTATAAAAATAAAGATTTCATTTTTAAATTCAAATTGGGGAGAATAGAGTGACCACCAACATATGCTACTGCATTTTGTCAAAAGGAAATAGTCTAATCAGTGGCCATATCCCAAAAACGGCAGTATCTGGGGGGACTTTATAGCGAGCATGATATTTATTTATAGACAGTTTAGTTATTTCGAACTATTCGAGTCTTCCATAACAATCAGATGAGTGCATAATACATTCCTAATTATTTATTTAATACCGTCATTATTGTTATGTCTGGCGAGGTAGTCAAAAACATTGTCAATAGTCGATGTTATTGTGAAAGCTACACATGAACTATATATAATATATATAAACACAAAAATAATGTAGTGCTCTATAGCAAAATTTGATTATGGAATTGTATATTAAATCTCACCAATGCAAGATGATACTGTTATATCATCCATTTTAATTAATTTATCCAGTACATATAGAAATATGTCGTTAATTAAATGTATTAAATAGCAAATGAAAACAATTCGTTTCATATTCCTTGCGAATGATCTTTGTTCCTTAATAAATCTACCAGTTTCTCGAACTAAGTCATCGTTTTTCTTCACAAAATCTAATGCCTCCTCCACCTCGGACCTTCAACAGAATAATTTGCCTATTTAACAACACGTTAACTATTAACATCATTTTCATATGCGGAAAAATCTTAGCCAGGACTATTTATATGTGTATAGTCAGCATTATGTATTATCTTATCTACTAACCACGCCCATGTACTCCGAATGCTCGGGGGTAAAGTAGATTGTTATTAATGTGGATTGATAATCTCTTTGCTAGCAATATAACATGTCAGGTTGACCTCCACGCGGTTCCCCCTGGAAACCATCGTGATAAATTCTTAGTGAATTTGTTACGATGGGCTAACTGACCTGACCTCATATTCATCTTATCATCCTTCACTGGTGCCAGCGTAAACCGTTAGCGCCGACGGCTACACCATTCATTATCATCCATAAAAAACACTCAGAATGCTCATTGCTGGACTAATGGGATCAATAATAATATTCTAATATTCTGCCATAACTTTGGCAGCAGTAATTGCCATCTATAAATAGAATTGTATTAAGTAGTAGAAAGAATAAGCAATTATCCTGACTTGTATCAACTAGCAAGTATTAAAGAAATTGATAATTTGTACCCTCGATAGTAATAGTTATTATATTATTGTTTTTTTTCCACGCACGTTGGCTGTTAATGATATACTTCAAACTTACAGAACACAACAATCTTGTGTTGTATAGTACAGCTAATATTATAGATGGGTTACGTAGCATATTTTATGATATAATGAGAATGAGAAATGAGTTTAACCGTCTGGAAAGCCTTGTTTATAAATATCAAATATACTATCAAGATATATATATAAATGCCATTCAACTACCACCTTACAAATTCTTTTTTTTTAATCAGGCATAAGAATTTTCTTGCCTAGAAACCATAGTCATTCCGGTATTGCTTATATGTATAACCTAACTTAATTAAATGACATTGCTTACCGTTTTGATACCATCCAGTAGAAAATGTTCATTGTCACAAGAAAGATAGATATATAGAAGAAAATGTTTGCAAAATCAATTACTTCTTTTGCATAGTAGTAGTAATATGCTATAGATCCCACCAAGTATACATATATTGAGACGAGAGAGAAAAAACCGTTTACTAGCCAAAAAACCACTGTAACATTAAAAGAATTATGTCGTCTATTTTTTGTTTGAATACGTCATGACTCTGAAGAGCTTATCCGCAGCGTGATATTTATCAGCGTAATATATATAATATATGATAAATTGTTTCCTAGATGACCACGATGATTTCCAGGGAAGCCCACTTGTCGGTGGATCGACAGTGTACTTTGTCTGTACACCCTACCGTCCAGTACATTAGTTTACAGTTTAACATTCTATATAATATCTACGTTTATTTGATTTGCGATACTAGTACCTAAAATATTACTGTCAATATTTTTTAATGAATGACAGTGGATGCTGTTCCAGCCAATTGATAATTATTAGGTAATGACGATTTCTCGATAAACAGCGGAAAGTTGATGTGACAGTGCAGGTATATTGTTAACTAGAAGTTATAAGTGATTATGACTGACAATCACAATATTCTCCGAAATAAAGATAGGTAATATATTTTGCACAAACTTTTTGTTGACATCAAAATAATTTGACATTTGTGGAATACTTTGTACAGAGTCTCCATTTGTATTATAAGAACACACCGACTAATAACTAACCATTTATTTCTTTTTTGAAGTAAGAACACCCTACCATGGTTGGGAAAAAGTCTACAATCCATAATAAAGTTTCAATGGAATTCCCTTTTATTCTACTTAAAAAAGATGAAAATTTTTTGAACATTGTTTTTAGCAAAGATGTGTTGTAGTATTGCAAATCACTCTGCAATGAAACTTTAGAAGGAATGTATCTGAAAGTTAACATACATATCTATTATATTAATATCTAGTTAGGCAAGCTATAATTAAGAAATTCAAACTACACGTCGTTTAATAATGCCATTTTGTCTATACACATGCTGTTGTGAAAACGAGTCTTTTACAAAATATATATATTTAATTAAAACACAATATATTACCATAGTAATTGTAATGTATGTACATATTTAGTTATTCCTAAGTAAAATAACAATTGTGTGTCTAATATGGGTAAATGTGTTTCTGTCTTTATTCGTATTGTCTATATAGTGAAGTAGCAAGACGTGTTTTATTGTTCCCAAATGTTAGCTAATAAATAAATGTATCATTTAAAATTATTTTTAAATATGTAGAAATTGAATAAAATGGATTTTTAGACGATGGGTCGTGGTAATCCTGATAAAACTCAGTATTGTACAATCAGTAGAAAAGTAAAGAAAGAGACAGCAACTCTTCCCAATGTCTGGGAGACACATGCGGTTGTAGGGAATTGTTGACTCACAATCAATATGAAATGGTAGACAAAATACTTGCACTATTTTGCCATTTTATCTCAACCTGTGTTTTATTTAATTTTATAGGTATACTTACAAATAATCACAACTTTATTCGCTTATAATTATGCAAGGCAGATGTTACAATTCTCAGCACCTTAAAAGATATTTACATACACTATTATTCTATTGATACTTGTTGTGTTAACGAGCCAAATAAAATATATTCCAACCAATTTTTTCGGACTTCTCTAATGCTGTTGGCCGCAGCTAGCCTTTACAGCTTCACCGGATGATAGGGGGCGAGTGCAGATGGCACTCCAACCCGCAGAATGGCTTATGGAGCGGCTGAAAGCCAACTCCCGTTTGACGGCATCTTTAGTATGAGGGCATCGCTAGGGGTTTTTTTTTTTTAAAGGATGATAATGGAATGGCGCACCCGCCTGCGCTATCGGTTTACGCTGGCGGGGCACCAGTGGAGCATGATAGGATGAGCATGAAGTCAGATCAGTTAGCCCAACGCGACAAATTCACAGGGAATGTATCACGATAGACATCTCCCCCCATCGCTTTGAACTTCGGCTCAGGCCGTCATAATATAGATCCCCGTTTGAATCGATCGGGGATGGGGGGCTTATCGCTTGGCCTTTTGGCTAAAATCAAAGTGTAGTCCAACCAACTATAAAAAAGAGGACCTACATACACATACTGATAATAAAATCGAAATTATTTAAAAATAATTTATTACAAGTACCAATAGTATGTTTTTAGTAATAACAGCATATAAGTAATGAAGAGTTTATGGTGACTATTCAAGACGAAGTTAGATATGAATATTATGCGTTATCTGAGCTAAAACTTAACTGATAATTTATGCAATGTATATGTTTGTCACTCATCTCAATTTTGTGGGTCATATATACAAACATTAAACATACAAACACGAAATATACATACCCGCAAATAAGCATATAATTTTGTTATACTTTTAATAACAAGACATCGAGTAAATACGACTGACATATTATTCTCCTATTCTTTTATATATAATATTCAACAATTAATTAATCCTTTACACCCTGGCGAAACATTATTTGCATATAAAATGCGAGACATGTGCCACAATTCTCAACACTTTATAGCTTGAATTATTAATATCTGCACATATTATACCAAATTACAAATTTATTATAGTACTGCTACTACTACCTCTGACTCAATACATTTAATATTTCATTCATTAATCATTTGTCAAATACGTACCTATATACATATATTAGCGAACGTCTAGTAAGTGTTATGTATATAATTATTAATTCTTTTAAGTAATCATTTTCGATTTTTTTTATTTTCATTAATTTTTATAATTTATAGATGTATTAGGAAGTAATATGGAATGGATTTAGTAAATTATGTTATTATACTAAAATTTTAACTATTAAGTCAAAGTATCTGTATAGTTGCAGTTAAAAAAATCTTGAACCTAAACAGATTGTTCTAAGAGTGGAGGTGGAAAATAAAAAATATTTTTTTTAATGCATCAAACTGCGCAGTTACATATTGAATGCAATTATTTATTTATTCAGAATAGGAATATAGTGAAATAAGTGCCATTCAAGCATAATACACTCATCAACTGAGGTGCGTTCAGGACGTGCATCCATACAACGGCTCAACAGTTATGGTATGGGCGGGTATTATGAAGAACAGACGAACTGAGCTCGTTTTTGTAAATGGTAACATGAATGCTGTAAATTACGTTGAGGATGTTCTAAGGCCTTATGTCCGTCCATTGGCACAAAAGCTTGGCTCCGATTTCACGTTGAAGCATGACAATGTGCGTTCGCATCCAGAGACGTATTTTAAAGGACTTGGTTGGAGTGATATCAATCCAACAATTGATGGACTTAATAAAATTTCATTGGGAACAATTGTCGCAGGTAACATTAACAGTCTCATCGATTGTATGAATAATCGGTGCCGGCAAGTTCTCCATAACAGATAAGACCACATTTTGTATTAATTTATGCAATTTTTGTACAACCATATCATTTTAGTTTAAATTCAGTTGATTAGGCACCATACTTTGTACTACGTAGGTACATACAGTACTTACTCGTATTTTATTTATTTTTTAATAATCTTAATTAACAAAATTAATATTATTATAAAATAAATAAAAAAAACAATAGTCAAAAAGCATTAGAAAATAATATAAATTAGAAAATACTAAGCATTGCGAAAACACGTTGTATATCGAAATTCAATGTATAGCGCCATCTATTAAATAAAGTTAATACTTTCTGTGACTAGGCACTGTTATTACTAACTTATGTAATCACAGATGGCGCTAAAAGTAAGTAGATGAGTAGTTTTCTAAATCATGTGATTCAAATTAATGAGGAATCATTACATTATAATTCAATGTGACTCACCAAACATGACTACAGATTGAATAACAAGGAATTTTGCCATTTACTTAATACGGTAATAATAAGGTTAAAATACTTCATAATCAAGTTGGTGTCTTTCAACATCATAATATAGTTACGTAACTGTCTTACAAAAGAAACAAGTTTTACAGTTGATAATTAATATAATATGATATTTCGAAGCAACAATATACCGGTTTTACTTAGATCAACCACTATTAACATACAGCCACAGAACATATTGTACATATACCTATTAACAGTCACACCTTATAAGTATGCGTAAATTGGATAAAAAAGAATCTTATTTAAAATATAAATTAACTTCAATATTTCTAGCAACTGTCATAGACTAGCATTCATTGGTTAAACTTTAAGAAGTCTTATTAGATGCAACATATTAAAGCTTCAAGGTCACGTTACATTATATGCCGGTTCATACCGGCCAGGCTCGTGTCAGCTATCGGCGCTGACACTACGTACTCTACGAATTAACTTTTCAACTCTCTTATAAGGACTTTGACTTAACTCTTGATTAGCGTCGATGAGATACGGACCATCTGACTCTCTTTCTTCAGAAGTGTGCTGACCACTCGAATGATCTGCACCGATCGTATTAATAAACGGTTCTACATCTGGCGTTACATTTCCAGACATAGCTGCTATCTTATTCCTATCTTCAGCTATGATTTCTGCTTCTCTTTGTCTCAACCAAATCGGAGAATCGACATATATTTTTGGACGTTCTCTCAAAGCATTGCATCTTTCTAAAGCTGGTCTTCTCATTGGTGCTGGTGGCCTATAAGCAGCTGGAATAGGTACACCACCTTTGCCGACAATAGTATATATGAGACCTTTTAAAGCAGCACGAAAGTCTTTCAAATGGTAGGCATATAACAATGGATTAATCGCGGAATTTAAATGTGAAAATATAATACAAAAATATGTGACTGGATTTGGAATATTTAGATCTGGTACAAAGGCTTTAATAGCATTGACTGTGTAAAGAGGAATCCAACATAATATGAAGAAGAAAACAATGATGGCCAAATTTTGAGTGGCTTTCACTTCTCGTTTTTGCGTTGGTCCCAACACTCGAAGCATTGTACCTCTACCGTGACTGCCATTGACAGTTACAACCTCGCTTAACTGAAAAGAAAAAAACTATTACTTATTATAATATATATTAATAATTATTATTATTATTATATAATTATAATTTTTATTTATATTATTATTATTAAACTAAAAAACTAGAAATGTAACTTTTGAAGTTGTGAAAATGTTACACGAGTATAAGCACGTTTATTATAATATATACTTGTTACTTATAATGATTAATATACGATTATAAACTATTTTTAACACAATAAACCATTGTGTTAAAAAACACTCTACACATATTATTAAACACTCTACAATTATGAATTCATTTATTTGTATGGAACTAATGGATATAATTAATCTCTCTCTGCCTTGGTGTAAAGAAGAATAAAGAATAGAAATAGTTGTAATTACTGTGTATGTAGGATACATGTATTCTATTTCAATTTGGATCTCACGTATTTTTGTAGTATTTCTTAATAAATAAAATACAGAACAATGTTCGGTGAAAATATATTTTTGGTTTCTTACATAAATAGCCCCCTAAAACCGTAAAACCTAACAACTTGACATATAATATAAACCGTAAAACCTAACAACTTGATATATAAATTCTCGAGAGAGGATCATGATACATATTTGATTAATACAAGTGGGCCCAGTGCGGACATAACTCAGTGATCATTTTACCTTAAAAAGTCCCTCAAACAAACAAAATATATATTCTAAGAAAGCACACATCACAAAACTGATGAATTTGCAGAATAAATTGGTGAGATTTTTTTATAACCAGCCCTTTTATATATGATCAAAACAATCGCTAAATTATGTGCACTATGTATCTATTTAAACACTTTAGGTACTAATAATAAATTCATAACAGTACCTACCTATAACAATGTTTACAGAGATTTTTTACAAAAACACATTGAGAACTCTATAATAATAATTATTATTATTAATAATTATAATAATTATTATTATTATTTATTCATGTTATTATTGTTATATTTCTATTTATTTATTTAGTATCCCAATAATTAAATTATTAATAGTTAAATTACATTTTACCTTTACTACCTTTCTTTCTCAGGCGCTTTTGTTTTGAATCCAACTTAAACCAGTTAAAATTTCAACTGAACAAGGTTATATTATAAACGTTCAATTTAGAGAACAAAAGAAAATAGTCTTAGCTGTCTCTTTTTACTAGAAGTAGAATGTATTTATATTACTAATCAATATTGTATAATAAGCCAATTACCTGTTTTACAACCACACGATAAATATGAGCATAAAATGCTGCTAGGAGCACGCTGGGTGTGACTATGGTTGCGAAATACAGGAACAGAAGATAGTTATAGTCCATGACTTCGACGAAGTAACATCCTGGGGCCGATCCCACATCTGCATGCCAGCCGAACAGCGGCAGCAGGCCAACGCAGACACCAGCAATCCAACACACCGATATTATAACTGAAATAAACATGAATAGAATATTATTTTCTAGACCCTCCTAGACTTTTCCAAACAGATACGTTTCTTCATTCATAATATTATGAATGAAGAAATGTATATGTAGTTAGAAAATATTTTTTTATCCGTAGCAATATTGCTATGGATAAAAAATTCTTTCTTTGCCTCTGTGTTATTATCTATGAGGATTAAACGACTGAAGGTACCCTAACGAAATTGATTAGAAGATTTTTTTAAAGGATGAGCTGAGCGATGAAAGGCAGGTCAGTTAACATATCGTGTCGAATTCACCAGTATTTAAACGTGGAGGTTTCTAGAAGGGACCGTTTGGTGGTTGATAATATGTGGTGGTTATTGCTAGCAATGGGCCTACTATTCCTTTTTACAAACAATCCTCTCCCCTTATAAGGAGAAGTATAATATCAGTTTGTCACCTTGATACCAAAATACTCAGTCAGGCAACCCTGCCTGATCATTTTCCACGAAATATTAATTAACTCAATTTAGTCCTACTGACGCCCCGCCAACGTATACTTTTAATGCAGGATAATAGGAGCCCAATATGCCATTGTGCTCTCTAAACGAATATCGCCTTATTGTAGGTATATGCCTAAAATATTATCAAATAACACAAAGTGACATATAGTTGTAGTTTCCGATTTGCGTTGGAATTTCTGAAAATTATTCGCGTAAAAAACCTACTAAATCTAAAGACATTTTTAGATATCATGTTTACTGAAAGATTTATCACTGATTAATAACAGGTAATATTTTTTTAAGATTTCTCATTTTTAAGACAGAATTAAGGACAAATTTTATTCGACAATAGCTATTTTGAGTGTATCGCTCATATCAGAACGAATTGTTGTGAAGTTGGCCTTAATCAATCATTTTAATCGCATATTGATCCAAAAACAAAAAAATAAAACTTTAATAAGTTTTGAACTTAACTCCTTGCAAATATCTATATTAATCGGAGTTTAAATTTAATTAAATTATTTATAACTAGGTTTTTTAACGTGTTATAAATTTTACAAAGATTGTAGATCCTACCCTCAAGTATTCTGGTGTATATAATAACAATTCTGGTGATAACACGGCACTCCGGCAACAATGTCGGGTATTCTTTCAACGCATGTTGATACATAGGTACAGGTACGTGCATGAAGACCTATGTCATGTCATGGCAAGTCTATTATAAATAGATAATTAAAATAATTTCTTAGCATTTGTTATTTCTATTACATTTTAATTTCTTCGTATCCAACACACATATAGCATTATTCTTTAAATGAAATATTTTTCTTTTTATTTATAAAATGGATTTTTATCTATTTTAGCCTTATCGTATCAAATAGTGTCATGTCATATGAAGAAAGATAATATGTGTCACCGCACTTCTTGACTCTGTTGCCGCAAGAAATTCCAACACTGTCGTAAATTATTTTTTTGGTAAAAATGGAAGAGGCTTCTCCTCTTCCATTTTTAATCATATTATTTGTATTAAAGAACTTAATACAAAACAAATATGAATTAATATCTGATTTTATGAAATGACTAATATATTTCAAGATTATTCTGCTGACAATTGTACATGAGAGGAGATGTAGGTAGTATAAATATACGATAAATATATCTATACTACCTACATCTCCTCTATACATAAGTAAGTACTTACATGAATGATATAGACATGTTTGTTTACTTAGCTGATATAGCTGTATACCTATATACCTGATTAAGACTGTATATACAAAGATAATGAGAAATAGTTCTGAGAAACTGATGTAGATAAATATTCGTTTTAAAGAATATTTAATTTTATCTCTCCCACATAAAGAAACCAAAATGTATGAAGTAACAACTATCTCTATCTCTTCTATTGAGTTAAATGAGCAAGAGCTATCATATATAAGCTAATATATATATAAATATTGGGACTAATGTACACATTCTGTTGTACATGCAATGTGCGTGTACATTGAGTATTAAGCAGATATAGAGGCAGCTGCGTCCACCTAACTAACATGTTAATAAATCAGCGCGTAACAGACTGACCCTATGTTTAGTAGTCGTCCCCCTATTTAATACACTTCATGACCAGTCAGTACCAGAGAAGGATGATAGAATAAGGAAAAACAGATTGTAATCAGATCAGTTAGTCAATAGTGGTTGATACATCAATTAACAAGGATGGTTTCCAGGGGGAACCCCGGGGGAATATCTTTCCCCATCATTTGCTATTCCAGAACAGAAATTATTCATTGGTGGTAACTTTTTTGCTGGGGGATAGTCCTAATGGAGTCTCGTCCCGGGGGAGGTAAATGGGTACGACCGGAGTCTCACAGGCTAAAAACTCCAAGGTGTTCTTCTCTTCACCTTTTGTCTGGTTAACGGGAACGCGCGAACAGTGTTCCGCAAGAATGATTGGCCAACCAAGAATACCTACCGTTTCAGATATAGATCAGTGCAATAGTAGTAATATATTTATCGTGCAGAACAACAACATACAGCAAACTGTTTTGTTTACAGTGTGCAGACAGATATTATATACAGTGTGTAGATGTTTCCTAAAACGCATCCTTTGTATTCCATCGTTTTATCGCTGAATATTATCGCACCAAGTCCAACCGTCGTTTAAGAACTGCACTGACGACGTTGGACTTATTTCATTTTGTTTATCCTGATGTTTATCTCGAATTCCAAGTTGATAACAGACACAAATTTTGTGTGGATGTTACCACATGTTAGACATATTTCACCATATAGTAATATTCTATAATAAACTCTAAAGAGATATCGAATGAATTTTAGATACTTGTATCCAAGATTAGTCATAAGACTTAACCTAGCCATTTGCCATTAAAAGGACCTACCTAATAGCCTTGCAGTCACTTTATAACTATTAATAACATGAAGAAATAAAAGTAGTAACATATTATCTATACTTAAATTATTTTTTTAAATACAAAAATAGTAAGTAATCTTGTTCAATCATCGAGTTGCTAATATTTACTCAGATGTTGGTCTATATTTCTAAGAAAACAACAACGCATTTAAAATATGAAAAAGTTGTTTAACATTAATATTTATAAGAAAATAGATCGATTCTTAGAAGTACCTACCTAATTACGCCAAATGAAAATAATACATATTTATACTGCTGAAATATAAAACTAACCAAGCCCGAGTTATTTTAATATATCTGTTAATCTTCAATCTATTGAGCACAAGAATTTGTCAAAGTAATTAATAGTTTACAAAACATGAACAGGCAGGTCCCTCAAATAAGGTGTCGATATATAATATAAAATATTTTAACCAATTGAAGTTATAAGACAAGGAATTAAATATCCGTTTATCACTAAAAGTGATAGTGGTACAATGATTAATAAAATTTATTTCTATACGTATACCAATGGGGTAGGTTATAACTATAACAATACGGTAGTAGTAACTAATTAGGTATTTATTATTATTATTACGACTTAAAAAATATATATAAAGACTGGTTTATGTGCTAAGAGGAAAACACGGCAATCGTACATATGTACAGTATCATCATTGGAAGATACTCGTGCCAAAACCTTGAGGCAGAAATAAGCGTAACGTGTACGTTATAAAACTCTTCACGTTTACTGTTAAAAAAACTAGACCCAAATCTTTTTTAACGACTTGGAATTGTAGTCCAGCTGACACGGGCGTCTGATGGAGAACGTTTACAAATGTATATGCACCACTTCACGGACATCATCATTGGCACCTGCATTGTCATTTCTGAGAAGTGGGTGCATACCTAACAGTTTCACTGAGATATCTCACCCGCTCTAATAAGCTGCTGGTGACAGGGTAACTGCCCTACTACTTCATACTAACTTGAAAATTATTTAACATACATTTTTTCATAGATTTTGTTGAGCCCCTACTCAACTACTAGATAATAATAAATAACACTGGACAATCACAGCGCCAGCACCATCTAGTCCCACGGTAAACAAAATTTGTGTTACACATAACACAAATTTTGTTTACCGTGGGACGATTAGATTAGACGACTAATAAAATACTACCTTTTTTTAATAGATACATAATATACATAGAAAACACCCAGACCGATACAAACAATCCGTCATACTCGTGAACGGGTGCTGCTTGTAGGGACTGGTCTGCTCTAATCACTATGACTGATTTCCTCTTATTAATTGTTTAACCAGTTGGTTATATACTCAATATTTTTTCTATTTGAGTATTTAATTGAATTAGTTCTAATTGGTAGTTTGTATTCACACACTTAAACTTAAAAATGTAAAGTAATAATAAAATTATTTAAAAGAGCAACACGCAAGTTTCTTGATCGTTCTTCTTGTGATGAGACAGCTTTCCGAACGAGCGGTAGATTAAAAAATGTAATGACTATTCAAAAGTGCTTCAATGTAAGTTTATTTGAATAAATTATTTTCTATTCTATTCTATTCTAATCATACTCAAAATTAATGACGGATTTGCGAAGTATATACATATATTGTTTCTCTTTCTTTGTAATTAATTATATTCTTCTAGTTCCTTGAACAAAGTTGGTCAGTTACATCACGATTCGCAGATTTCTATTTCCGTTACACGAATACTTTTAAATCAAAATTTAAATGTACAACCAAATATTTATTTGCTTATTTAGTTACACGCATTTGGATGTATCATCACATCATCGTGTATAAGTATAATTAGTGATTCTTAAAAGATAAACAAGTATATGTATGACGAACACTGCTTGTGCTGTCATTAAGATAGTTATTAATTTAAACTCTCTTCTGTGAATTTAGTCATCCAGAAGTTTATGATATCTTTTGATTTCGAATATCCTTAAGTTGACAAATGGATGCAAACCATACGAGGAACCTCGTACAAAGTTTTAGAAAGTCAGTCAAAATACGGTGAAACAAATTGAGCTAATGAGATTTTATTAGAACATTATATTTCTTTGTACGATGTTAGTATTCCAAAATCGAATTGCACAATCCTGGACTGTGGTTTTAACACGTCCATTACATCTAGTGACCTCATACACTGCAGGAAGGAAGCTCATTTTACAATTTATGACATTCCCTATTTGTTAACAAATAGTAATGAAACATGCTTGTGGCTCGACAATCTACTTAGGGATTTTTAAATTAGTCAGTTACACGTCAATAGTATAACTAATATCTTTCGTGACTACACAAGTATATACTATTATATATACACAATAGGTACCATTGTTTCCAATGATTCCAATGATTGCGGTACCATATTATATTAAACAAAAGAATTTGTACGCTGTAAACGTTCTTGTGTGTTATATATTATCGTGTCCTTATTTATTTTGAATGTTTACTGAGTCACTTGTTGCATCTGCCTGTGTGCAAATGAATCGGAAATTTTCACAAGTCTTGGGAAATCCCGCGTATTGGATTCATATCCGATACCAGTGTAGACACGTTAGTATGTAGTTTTCCCCATATAAATTGTTAAAAGATAAGATATTTTCAGTCCTCTAAAAATCTACTAGCCACAATAAACAAATTTAGAGTACCAAAAGTGCTTTGAATCTGTGTTTTGGTGCTTTAGAGGACTGGAAAATATTCCTATACGTTACAGATAAAACATTAGTATTGGAATATTTACATACACTGTAATCCTATATCAATAAACGGAATATTGACAGAATCATTTATTAATTAATAATAAACATATCTGTCGTGTAAAATCGCATTTTTCTAATTTTATCGGATAAGCTGAAAATAGTTGTTTTGGAAACCCATTTAGCGGGATTATTTTAAACTTTGTTGACCACACTACCTCATACTGGAGTGTTAGTCATATAGCAGGTCAGATCGTACATATCTAATTCGGAACAATGTGAATAATTGAGATACGTAATTTATGATCATCTGTGACCACACATGTAAAACGATGGCTACACGTTCAATAAATATTATGATCCATATAGCATATATGTAACGAATTTATGAAACATCTGACTGAAGTATTGACAGATCTCAATATGGATCGCACTCTATGTCAATCGATATTGTTATATACACCAGACTTTACGTATCATTTATTCATTACTATCACAATAACAATTCACACAGTGCCATCTAGACCCCAGCTAAGCAGAGTTTGTGTTATGGGTAGATACTAGATAACTTTTAATAAATACATACAGAATATTCATATGAAATAGTCAGATCAATTCAAATTCAAATTCAAAAATCATTTAATCATGTAAGACATTTTAGCCGCTTATGAATGTCAAATTTCTACATTATAAAATTTCGGTATATACATTATAATTACTTTTTTTTTAGTTTTTTACAATATATTTTTATATAGGTGTCTATATATATGATTTAACAGATGTTTTGATCGTTTATTTATCAGTAAATATGTGTAATTCCAAGATATCCTTTGGTATCTTATTGTAAATTTTTATACCTATTCCCATAAAAGACCTATTAACTTTTTCTAAACGATACTTGGGGACAGCAAGTTTGTCTTTAAATCTCGTATTAATATTATGAATATTGCTGTTTTTTGGAAATAAGTCAAGATTTTTATGAACATATATTTAGGATATTTTAATACATAAATTGAGAAGCAACGGTGAGAATATTTGCCTCTTTGAATTTCTCTCTTAATGTAATGTAAGTCACGACTCTTCATACAGTACATCGCTCGAACGGCACGTTTTTGTAATATGAATATATTTTTAATATCTGCCGCTTTTCCCCATAGTAATATTCCATAAGAGAGTAAACTATGAAAATAACTAAAATAGACTAATCTAGCAGTATCAGTATCAGTGTACTGTCTAACCTTACGCACGGCAAAAGCTGCTGAACTTAGTTTCGCTGCAATGCTTAATATAAACTGTAATACAAATGAATGAAAACAAATGTTTGTACCGTACGAGGAATCGAACCTGCGAGCATCGAAAGTACAGTAGTTTGCTAAACCGCTAGATCACCGAGGCTGTATATATTTTATTAATACTAGTGTATTAACATAGCGAAACGACTAGTTTGACTATTTGCACGATTCGTTTGAAGGTAAATTATGTTCAAGGTAACTTCGTCACAACTCGAAGCACAAAAACAGATCTCACTAAATGGAGTTATCTATATCCATTTATATCGTTTTGCCCACGTGAATTATAGTAAAATCAAGTGCAATTAAATCACACAGTTAATTACCACTGTATACCTTTCTAGTCAGGTGGTAGCTAGGCAAAAACCAATATAAGCGTATGCAGATTGTTGGTTTTGAGGGGCCAGGTAACAAAAACATTGTTTTTCTTACCTGATCAACATTATAAAACATTTTTTTATATATTTTACAAATAAATAAAACAAAGAAAATATAGTTTTTTTTTATAAGTAATAGATGTCCGAAAAAATCGTTATTTGGTATTCCAAATAACGATTTTTTCTAATTCATATAATTTTGTATGTTGAATGCTTTTTTAGATCGTATTCCGCTTTTTTATTGCATCGTCGCAATTTTCGGTTTTTGTTTATGTACAGTTTTTATCGAAGTCTAATATCGATATGTAAACATGGATGTTTTAAGTCTAAGCATTGCTATTCGAAAAATATAAATATTTATCGATCATCACTAAAACAACACCTACCTGTTGGCATCCATTAAGTTCTAATTCGAACAGACAAGATACAGTAAGATATTGATTTTTTTAAACATATCGATTTATTTTAATACCATTAAATATATTGTATAATTAAAATTACATACTCATTGCTTAAATATATATATTGTATAAAAGTATAAATGTATATTTTGTATACCTATCTCTAACAAGTGCCTAATAAACAATATATCAAACAAAACAAATCTCAAACTCAGTAACAATTTTTCATCGCTTTTAATATACATGTAATTACTTATTCAGATAGAAATATAAGTTACACGCTTCCACAATCCAGCACATAGTTTCGACGTGCTTCCCATTTTATACGTGTACTTGTCCTCTAGGTGATGGTTGGTAGATGAAGTAGTGATTCCATGCACTACCAGTAATCGAACACAAGTGGCCCTCTTCTCTGCCATTCCTTTTATAAACATATCATGTTATGTACAATATAGTACAGTATTTTTCATGTACCGTTCATTCATAGTGCAGATTGTGCCAAGAATTGCAATGCCTGCCTTAGCCCTTTTAAACATAATGTTGTTCAACTTTTTAAGATTTTGTGCGAATAAAAACTAGTAGCACCAATTCACACAAAAATAAAATACATTAAAAAGTTAATACTTATATAATAAAATAAATCAGTCACAATTACCACATCAATATATATATTATACACGGTATATCTACAGTACTACTTTTATCATCGTTAAATATAGGTTGACCATTATCAATTATATATGGAATATTCAATAAACTATTTATACACATAATAATATCTCCTACTCCTATACATACATAAATTCTTGCACAATAAATAATCGCAGTTATATTTACTTTACATTATCATTTTTGTAATATTTATATATAATATGAATATAATAAAGGAGTAACGTACCCGCCCGCAACAACCTTAAATGTTGATACATTTTTTTTTAATAGTAATTGGAATGGCAAATAATCTGACCTTTATGATAAGTGACGTCACGGGCATCACAATAACATAACGTTATTGTGATGCCCGTGATGTCGTTCTCATGTGTTGCCATTGCGGAGGACTAAGATGTCATGCCGTTTATCCTGTAAATTACAGGACATATATATGGTTGTAAAATCAAGCCTTAATCGCTAGTAAGTAGTATACGTCCCCTTAATGTAAATAAATATTTATCAAAACTATGCTGGTATTAAAAGCAACATTCTATTTTTTAGGCACCAGTGGAAAACGACAGGAGGAATATGAATAACAAATCAAGTAAGCTAGCTCACCGAATATTCCTGGACTTGATTAAGGTTTTCGGGTAAAACCTCAAGATTATCTACCTGATATACTACTTTGCCAAACAGTCCAATAGTTCCCCTAGCTAACAGTTTTTAACATTTAGATACGAAATAACGAATCATTATAAAAATATTTTTGATGCCTAAATTTTGAAATTGAAAGTTAGGCTAGTAGGTTGAAAAAATTCTATTACACTATTTATACGGTGTTTCAGTAGTTTCTATATAATCATTACACTGAGAAAAACAGATGGACGGACAAAAGGTTATTTTCATTAGTTTAGTGTGCTTTGTTTTGTTGTTAACTCTAAAAATGATGTTAGTTTTTTACTAGCTTTATTTATTCAATAAAAAAGGTATGTTTTTACTTCTTTAGGTTTTTTATTGGTTTCCGTTTTTTTCGTGTAACATTCCCACTATTTAATACTATTTTAATAATATAGTATAGTACCTATTTACCTTTAAGACCACTTGCCTAATAAAAAACACATGTATGCAAGCGTAATTAATATATGTGGTTTTTAAGTTAAATGAATATAATTCTTATTTGTTAATTCACGGATTTATCTACTTTATTGTTTATATATGTGGAGTCATTTTAGAATGTTCTATTGGAATATTATACTGTCGCTCATTGCAAAAATACTGATCAAAACGTAACGAAACATGTTTCACGTACAGGTAGAAGAACTGTATTACTGTATTACCTTACCTTTTTTATTGACCTATGTTACATGGACTGTGTCATTGACAGATGTATTGTATATGGTATAATTTTATTTGTATTGTATGTACATTAACACTGGTTATTTACACCTTCTTAATATACCTAAGAATATTAACAGTTTCAATAAACAATAAAAGCTATAATAAAAGTGGCCAACACAGTTACACTAGGAATATTTCGCAGTGCTGAATTGCGTTTCAATGATTGTTCTGCGTACGCTTGCAGAACGCCGCAGTCTATTGTTTTCTTCATATTGTTGACAGGTGTGATCCGTATGACGTAGCACTTCATGCCAGATGTCACTTGGATTGGGTCTCCTTTCACGTCCAAAGCGTTAGTTATTGTAGTCGTATTGGTGGTGGTCGTCGTCACCGTCACCGAGGAAGTTGATGTGTTGTTAACAGGTACCAATGTACCGTTCGGTAACATGACATCCCCTCCCATTGGTGTGAGCGGTACTACAGCGGGGTTATTGCTGTTCACAGTAGTAACATTCGTTACTGTCGTAGTCGTAACCGTCGTATTGTTTGCATTATTTGTTGGACTATTTTGATTGTCTCCTGAGCTGCTCAATATGAAACTTGTTATTATCTGACAATCAATCCTAGTTTCTTCATAGTCACCATTGTTCTTTTTCAATCCAAATTTACATACTTCGCCTGGTTGAGGTTTGTATTGTGAACCGCCGCTTCCGTGACTATGAGCATAAGCAGCACTGCCTGCAACGCCAGCTAGAGCTCCAAGATTGAATAGGGCCAGGCCAGCCAACAAAGTGCCATATCTACTTCCTGAATCCCTGTACTGATAGACGTAGGTTGGAGGTGGACTATGATACACAGGATAAGTCATTACACCCGACGAACTAGTATACCTTATTTGTTGTGGTGGAGCGTAGTTGTAGTGATGGTGGACGGTTGTATGGCTATTGTAACTTGTATGCGTGTTTCCTGAACTTGGATAGTGACTTTGTGGTCTAGACCCTGATCCAGATAAGCCACCTGACCCTGGATATGAATGGCTTCCTCCTCTTTGTCCCGCTATACCTCCAGAAGACGGATAACCATGACTTTGAGGTTTGGTACCAGATGATGGATAAGAATGACTTCCACCAGATAAACCGCCAGACGAAGGGTATGAATGTCCTCCACCAGATAAACCGCCAGACGAAGGGTATGAATGTCCTCCACCAGATAAACCTCCAGATGATGGGTACGAATGTCCTCCACCTGACGGGTAGCGATGAGACGAATGGGAGCCCGACAAACCACGAGAGCTCGGATACGAAGATCTACTTCCCCCACCAAAACTCCTTTTAGCTTCTGTATTGGGATCCAATAAACAAAATACAAACACTGTGCATAATAGCAAACGTATTGAAAAGTACATCTTATAATCGCACTATTTTTAAGCCACGTATCATAAACTTATTTCCAAATAAAACATTTAGCAACACGCATTAAACTCATGCGCAACAACGCGCACGAACCGGACCGACTGAGAAAGTTGAGAATAAAAAAACTAATTGAATGTAAAGTAACGTCAGTCAGATGCCACAGAATAAATATAATGGTTACGGCATTCCGGTCTAACCGCTCTTAAACGCCAGCCGTCGGAGCGCGTACAACACTGCGGTCGGTGTTGCCGTTATAATGTTGAATGTTTATATTACAGCGCTGACCGCTGTCTGTATTGCAATTAGATATGACTTACTTATTCATTCAATTCATGCGTAATATAACGATTTTTTCACAAATTGTTCTCTATAGTTTGTGAGAAAATGTATGAATATTTAATTACAATTATTTTATTATATACTTACAGGTGTACATATATTATAGATATAAACCTCCCTCTAGAATCACTCTATCTATTAAAAAAAACCACATCAAGTTCCCGTGGTTAGTTTTAAAGATTTATTAAGCATACATAGGGACAGAGAACGACAGTGACTATAATTTATACTATGTAAGGATTATATTACTAAATCTAAACTATGGCTAGTTTAGATTTGGTAATTATATATCTTTAGCTTTTTTTTACAACTGCCTTTTAACCTGAGTTATGTTCCCAGCCACTAACCACCACAAATAAATGTTGTCTACCAAAGGATACAATACAAAAGAAAGGGTCAATGATTTTAATGGAAATACTCAGTCTTGAATATTAGACTCACAGGAATACGTCTAATGCAAGTCAGTTAAGCCTGCCATTCTATTATAATTCAGTTTATTTCAAATTATTTTACTAATATTACTTTAAGAACATTATTGCTAAGAAACAAATATCTCATTCCTTTGTAACTTTGTGTAAGTGTTTGTAACTTTCCTTTGTAACTTCGTGGAAGTGAAGTATTAAGCGTTTGTAAAATAGTAATGTTTTTTATGATTTCTAGAAATTTTTATTCAATGATATTTCAATTCAACAAGTTACTTATAACTATCGCCGCTGTCGGTATAGTGTGGTTACATCCTTAACCCATTGAATGAAACGAACGAGAAATTGAACGATAGTGGATGCCCTATTCTGAATAACCGGATATTAGTAACTAGAAAAAAACCGTCTTCCTCAGAAAACTATTGCTAAAACGAAAATTTTATTCAATGATATTTCAATTCAACAAGTTACTTATAAATATCGCCGCTGTCGATATAGTGTGGTTACATCCTTAACCCATTGAATGAAACGAACGAGAAATTGAACGCTAGTGGATGCCCTATTCTGAATAACCGGATATTAGTAACAGAAAAAAACCGGTTTCCTCAGAAAACTATTGTTAAACTCTGACATTTAATTGTAATAGAATGACTGTTAGCCATTTCGATTCAGAACATGCACAACTAAATATCGTAATACGTCAGGTACAGTTCAAATAATATTATTTGATTTTCTCAGTCCAATACTGTACGATACTCCACTATTTTTAGATAACATGTACCTACATTTGTTGACGTTAATAATTAAAAACAAATATAATAAAAAAATATTTCCAAAAGCACACCTGCAAAAGGGTCTCCTATTATATAATGTAATTTAGTTAATTTTATTTATTTATTTATTAAAACTTAAATGCACAAATACATCAATAAAGATGCACATGCCGAACTTAACATCTTGAGGCATTTTCTCCCAGTCAATCATTGGGCAAACAGAGATGCATGTGGGCGTTGCATTATCAAAATTTGAAATTCAAATGTAAAAAAAGTTTATGTGATTAAATATAACCAATTAATCTGCTGTTTCTTTATTGATCCATTTGAGGTTATGATACAAAAAGAAAAAAGCTTATAATACTAAATTCTTATTATAAGAAATTTATTTTTAAACACTCTAGTAGTGTTTAAAAATAAATTTCTATATTAAATTTCTATCGATTTTAATTTCCGGTTTTTAAAAACGAATTTAATAGCCGGTACCGGTGTCGTCCCAAGTCGACATCACTGCGCAGCAAACATTTGCCGTCTCTGTCTATTGCATACGCATTACATGCAGCTGTCTCATATTGACACAATGTTGTCCGTGCGCAATATCTACAAATTACTTAATAATAATTTAAAAAGTTATTATTATTATAGTAAACCTAAATTTTAAAATTCGCTATTTAGGCTAGTCAGTATTACTATTTTAGTGCCTGGCTTACACTAAAATAGTAATAGTAGTAAAATGGTAGTTTCTGACCGCTTTATGCAACTGCATAAAGAGCAACTGCACTGTCATAGAATTTCATTTTGTAGTTATCATGAAAGTTCAAAAACACCAAAAATATCATCATCATCATTGCCTTGCCATTATCCCATTATATAGGGTCGACACAGTACATCATCTTCTATTGATCCCTTTCGGCCGGCATATCTGAGCTTACGCTCCTTTTATAAATATCATCTTTCATACAATCTTTTCTATTTAGTACGTCTTCTGGCTGTCTCGTACCTACAAACACCCAAAATATAAAATTTTATAATTAATCTTTATAGGTATTGTATGTATTAAAATAATACACGATTATTGCACTCTGGAATATTGAACCCTACAAACAGTGTAAGAATTTTTCAAAACGGTTGCACCGTTTGCCAGGTTGCACCAGGTACCAGAATTGATGTAGATTCTACACTTTATTCAATTGTAAAGAAGAGAACCACGCAAATATACAAATTGAAATGTTGTCTAATATACCTACAGTCACTTTTCTGTTTTATTATAGCAATACCAATGAACTGGGGGGAAGAGGATTGTTAGTAATGTGGATTGCTGATATTATTGCTAGCAATGTACCATGTCAGGTTAACCTCCACGCGGTTCCCCCTGGAAACCATCGTGATAAATTCATGGTGAATTTGTCACGATGGGCTAACTGACCTGACCTCATGCTCATCTTATCATCCTCCACTAGTGCCCCGCCAGCGTAAACCGTTAGCGCAGATGGGTGCACCATTCCATTATCATCCATAAAAAAATATACTAGTGAACTAATCACAGACTAACATTTCCTAGAAAAACAAATTAGACTTTAATTAAAATTCTATTTTAATCGTAAAGAATTAAAGTCCATATCTGTTTAACCAATTTCAACATCATACCTTCCTCCTGCTATTTCTGTACTATGACGCTAAGTAAATAAAAAAATATTACCTGACACCTAAGTACGTGGTAAATGATAGACCGACCATTCTCTTATCTTGAAATATGTTGAAATCGATTGATATCTTTTCCCCAAGTGCTTAGAATGTTTAGCTATTTGGAATGAATCAAATTACTAAATTAAGTTGGCTACTTACTTTACTTACATAATTTTTTTCAATATAATACAACATTATTAAAATGTAAGTTACTAACTTTTTTTAGATAAAAGTTTATAAAAACTCGTGAACGTCAAATTTGATTACAACCTCAAGTTGCAAATATCTTTGATTGCACGGCGTTTACATTAATTGTGAATGATCTAATGATCTAGCGACGGTAATCTGTACTGGGTGAAAAGGACAGGCTAAAACGAAAACAGCTGGTTCAGATGAATGATCTGAATCAGCGGGCAAATTATTTTTCCACCGGAATGCATCACAGTCATAGTTATCTAGCTCTGCCCGCGGTATCACCCGCCTTAAACTTTACTCGTTGAACACGATAGTTTGTGATTATGGATGTTTGTTACTCTTTGACGCTAAACCTACTGAATGGATTTTGATGAAACTTTACAGTAATACAGGTTATATATCAGATTAACATATAGGCTATATATTTTATTGAAATTTAACGCCGGTGAAATCGTGGGCACAGCTAGTGATATTATAAATACGAAAGTTTGTGAGTATGGTTGGATGTTTGTTATATACTCTTTCACGCAAACACTATTGAACGGATTTTGATAAAACGTTACAGTATCTACAAATATATATTAATAGCTATAAAATTCATATGGGTGAAACTGGAGACACAGCTAGTATATAATATTTAAGAAACCTTATTTGTAATCGTAATATGAAAGAAATTAAAATCTTTTAATTTATATTCATTATTATTATGATTACGTACAATTTGCGCCATAATTTTCAATATATAATATCTTTGTTAATTTATTTTTTCTGAATACTAAAAATAAAAATACCTACGAGATAAATATTATTGAATAGAAAAGAGCAGACATAAAAAAGTCATACCTTTTTTAAATTAAGGAATATAAACATAAAAAAGCAAAATTATGGCCGACAGGCCGATATATAAAGAAATACATTACGTTCTAGAATTCTTACAATCAATTGAATAAACAAGACCCAACCAATATTACTTATTATCGTCGTCACACTTATTTATACACTTATAAACAAAGACATCCACCAAGGTGGCTTCGCCAGCCAAGATTTCAATTTTTCCCTTGAAGGCATGATGATACTTTCCCCTTTCTTCGGTTCAGGCATTTTTGCATACTTTAGTAAGACGTTACAATCTACATTGTTTTGCAAATAACTATCTTTAGTCTGAATTCCCACTGCACATTCCATTTTAGATGATGATACTGGTGGACCTTTCATGGTTAGGGGATCGGTAATGTTCACCGTATATGTACAAGTTGTAATGTTATTATCTGTAATATTTCCAACCACGTTGACATTAATAGTGGTTGAATTTGTTACACAGACTGTTTGATTCGTATAACTTTCAGGTTTCATTTCAATACTTATAGCATCTTTAGTAAAAGTTGAAACTATTTCACAAGGTATTCTTAGTGCTTTTACCATATTGTTATCCTCTTTTACTTTCAGAGTACATATAGCCGAATCTTGTGGCCTATTATTAGATGTATAAGAATTTGAAGATTCATATCGTCTTCTATAATAATCGTCATAGTAATAATGGTCGTAATAATGACTGTGTGTACGACCTAAATTGTACATTGCTAAACCAGTTATCAGATCGCTATATTGGCTCCCAGAATTTCTATACTCACTTATATAAACATACTGAGGAGATGTATAATAGCTCGAAGTACTATAATAAGGCTTATTGTTTGTTTTTCCATAGCGTGTACCACCATAACGCACATGATTGTGGATACCCATATCTACATTTCTATTAACCGTACTATACGAGTTCCGTGATCCTGAGTTGAATACTACTGGTGCCTGGTTACTGCCTGATCCAGATAATCCCGTAACAGACAGTGGATAATTATGGAAAGAGCCAGATGTATGGGTATGACCGGAACCCGATAGTTTCGTAGGCGATGCTGTGTAACTGTACATTGATCCAGATGATGGAGTTGTGGGGTAAACATTAAAGTATCCGGGTTTTGATAATGGAGGTGAATTGTTATGATTAATGTTCGATAAAGTAGGCAACGTCATGGGGTATATGTATCCAGTACTAAATTTTGTGGATATTGTTGAATTCAATTTCTTATAGGGACCAGATCCTAATATTTCCGATGACGCAAGTGAATTATTTCTAACAGATGTTGATGGATGGTTAGAACTCATACTTGTTATGTTTCCACTCGATACTCGTGGTAATAATGTAGGATATTCTTGACCAGCATGTGTTATATTGGTTTTACTTCCTGACATGCCTGATGAGGACACTGGATAATTGTGATTCAAAGTAGGCTTCAGTGATGTGGTATCTTTATTTAAATGAACTCTTAATACAGAAGGTTCGTTTGGTATAGAAGGTTTATAACTGTAACTATTCAATTGATTTACCTTATTATTACTGCCTGATAATCCTGTTGACGATAGATGATAACCATCACTGCTTTTAGATGGTATTAAATATGAAAGTGGCTTGTAGTTATTATCTCCTGATAAACTTGTGAGAGATTCTGGATAATTGTGACTAAAATGTGACCCATCTTGCAGTAAAGCTGGTTTATTTTTGTCGGCTCCTGATAATCCTGAAGTAGGTGGATATTGATGATCTGCTCCAGAGGTTCTTAGCATCGGTTGCTGGTTATGACTGAATGGAGGCTTGTTTTCTAATTCGCCACCAAATTTTGTAGATGAAAATTTACCAGAAGATGTACCTGGTTTATATATATTATTGCCTGATAAACCTGAAGAGGATATCGGATAACTATAACCTCCAGAATTTGAAGTATGTTTACTTATATCACTTGTATGGAATCCAATAGTGGCTACATGACTATGGCTTCCCCAACTCCAACTACCACTTCCACTACTGCTTCGACTACGGCTCCGGCTACTGCTTCGACTTCCACCAAATCGGCCTTCTGTAATTGTGACTAGTAAACAAAATAACAAAATGAACAACAAAATAATTCTGTTGGCCATTATGAGAGACACACTCTCGCGTACTTGTTTGAGTCTGAACTGGGTAATTTATACAATTATTTATACTGGTCCAAACAAGCGTCCGGATGACGTTGCTCTGACAATAAAGTCGTTTATTGTGATAAAAGAGGGTTAAAGATTAATTAACTTTATTCTGGGATGATTGATTGATACAACACATGTGGTTTTATCAATAAACAAAAATAAAAATATAGAACCCGCTAAATATAACAATTTAATAACAAAACATTTATAAATTATAATTTTTAAAGGCCGTGGATAATACAAAAAACCTTGGCTATTTTTATAATAGGTAATTTATTATTTTAAGGACGTCATCACGTTATCTAGATTACGATAAACATAATCGAAGCCAACCCGGTTAAATTAGTTACTAAAATTTTTTTATTAATGAATGAATGAAATGAAATATGCACTCGCCTCCCCGCACTGAAGTATGATAGTATGAGCCTGAAGTCAAGTAAGTATTGCGGCGAATTTATCACGGCCAATTGGATTGTTTGGAGCATCCAATAGAATAAATTGCTGTCAATATAGCAGCTAGTCCCATCATCATTATTACATAGTGTAAAACAAAGTCTCTGTCGCTGACTGTCCCTATGTATGCTTAAACCTTTAAAACTACGCAACGTAGATTTTGAACGATTTTGAAGTGTTTTTTTTTATAATAGATAGAGTGATTCAAGAGGAAGGTTTATATATATAATACATGTACACCCGTGCGAAGCCGGGCGAGTAGCTAGATACTGCTAGATACTAATAAAATTCCTCCGACAGTGGCAAGGGTTTATTGTAAAATAATATTTACGATATTTTATATTACAACAAAGATAAACGAATATATAAACTTTTTATCATCTTGGATTAAACTCACAATTATTAAGTTATACAATAAGTATACCTTAACACCAAAATGTACCGTCGATAATTACTAAGACTTATTATAGTAGTAAACTAAAGCTCTATCGTTCCGGTAAACTGGTAAATACAATAGGTACCAGTGATAATAAAGAATGCATCGGAAATTTTACGGTCACGTGCCCTGTACCTTCGACAATGAGCTCTAAATCGCAATGTAATGATCTTTTACACTGTAATCAAGTCTTGTGAAGGCAAAGCCACAGTTCTATCTCGCGATTCTGTCGCAGCGATAGAATACTGCCACCGTGTTATTTAGTACCAATCATGACGTCCGCATCGCATCACATTTAAAATGTTACTTTCTGTGCTGTTCATGAACTTATTAATTCAAGTGTTTTGTGAGGGGAACAAACAGATGAAACCATATACCTTTCCCATACCTTTTGAAATGCCCAACAGAAATGATCGTGCCGAACAGTGCTGGCTAAGAATAGAAGATTTGGAGATCACGGAGACAATAACGACATACTGTCGTATTGCCCATGCATTTCTTCATAGTTACATCCCTGAATACAATCTAAAGAAAATGACTGAGGATGACGTCAATGTTAACGTATGGGACGAAGACCCTATTAGAAGTCCAGAAGATAGTTTAACTAAACTACCTGAATCCGACCAGAAAACTTTAAAGGATTGGAAGCAAACTACAGTGACGGACCCAATAACTAATATTAGGATATATGTGAGTCAAGAAGCAGATTGTAGATTGGTCGTGATTAACAGAGAAGCAATGTCAAATTACAAAGTTGATTGTGAAACTTTGTTGTATTTTTTTAATCAACATTTGGATAATAGTGCAATGTTTTCTTCCAGTAATAGTAACTATCTCATAGTCACTTGTGTTTTCCTCATAGTTATAAATATTCCGATTATATGGCTGAACTAGCAATAGCTTTCTCCTTTAAGAATATTTCATTCTAAATTAAATAACTTTCACAAATGTAAAATTTATGAAAGACGTAAAAATATAACTCCACAAATTGAAGTTAAAATCAGTCAATCAGTTCAAATGAATCACATTAAACAAACAAGCTTATATTATTGTTTATATACCTATGCAAGACTCTAATTTCACATGAAATTTAAATATTTTGTTTTTATTTCAATTAACGGAACTTCCAAATAATTGTTGTTGTATTTAGAATGTTTACTTACAAATAACGGAATATTCTCTATATAGTATATGATACCATATAGCGTTAAGGTGTTATATATCTATACCTACATGTAGTTTTATGTATCTATATATTATGTCACAGTACAAAAAGATAATGTAACAGTCACAATACAAAAAGATCCAAGTACACAGCATGTAAAAGCACTGAACCAAACCAAGTCACGGCTGACTTGTGACCAGTTAATTAACTGTTATATACCCAGCTGATTGTTGATTGCTATCCACTACTACTAAGCAATAATGATAAATATAAGGAAACACACAGTTAATATAATTTTGTTACAGTTTTCGTTACCAATTAAGTTAGTGATTTATACCTTTATTTACACCCAAGCGGCTGTGAATTCAAAACTGGCCGCAACCAAAAAATGTTACTGACTTTCCGTGATGGAAACACTAGTAAGAAATTAATTCGAGAGACAGGAATAAAATAGCCTATTGCCACATTAGATTTAAATATATAAAGAAAAAGGGTTGCGTCCACCACAACATTGACAACAAGGCCACTGACTAACACATCTGGCATAACGCGACGGTATGTTCCTCCCTCCGATCGATCCCCCGTCCAATTCAAATGGGGATTGAAATTACGACGTCCTGAGCCGAAGTTCTAATTGCCCTCAGACTAAAGTCGTATCCGTCATGCGGGTGTTGGCCTTGGCCGCTCCATAAGTCCTTCCGCAGGATTGAAGTGCCATCTGCACTCGCCAACTATTATCCGGTGAAGCTGTAAAGGGCCTCTGCGGTCAGCAGCATTAGAGTAGACCGAAATAAAAGGAATTTTTCTTTTAAGTGTATGTTTATTTCACACACGACGCATTCTGTTCATACATAATTTGAGAACGCCGCATTAATTCGGTATTTTAAAAGTTGTGTACCGGATGACTGTTTTTATTCGCGAATATCCGCATCCATACTTATTTAACGTATATTATATTAGATTGTGTCCTCGTGAAACTATAAATGTATACATATCTACGATTCGCGTCTGTTTTTGAAAATAGATACGAAGTCACCACTAACCACGCAATATGCGGTTCTTAAAATACATGAGTCAATGCGGGAAATTCCGGTATTATAGATAAAAACTGCAATATGTGCTATTTAGTCTGTTATATATCTGCCAGAAAAAAGATTTAAATGTCAAATAAAACAGTTCCTTTGCAAAAAAGCTTACTATAAAATTGAAGAATTCGTTAACGATAATAATGTTTTTATAGAAAAACTTTAAATCCATAGCACTGACAATATTATCTGATTACATTAATAATGAGTGCGTAGCGACCTCTATGTTGATTATCGCATGCCTCTTACTTGTTATACTGTAATTATTTATATAAAAAAAAACATCTATTAAAAAGAGCAACACACAAGTTTCTTGCTCATTCTTCTTGTGATGAATCTGCATTCCGAATGAGTGGTAGAATCAAAATATGACTATTCAAAAGTGCTTGTAATGAGTTTATTTGAATAAAGATTATTTCTATTTCTATTTCTACATCGACAATAGTCATGATGTACATATACAAAGACTGGTGTATAAGCTAGAAGGAAGTGTGTAAAAGAATTCAGATAGTCTATTTATTGATACACAAATATATTATACAAAAACTGATATACAAAAAAATACGGACAATTATGATAAAATTATTTGTATTTATAGTTAGACTACCATTTGTTTTGTTTTCTTTGTATATATTTATACAGATTAATGGTTGTATGGAAGCCTGTGGCTTTCAAAATAAGAAACATGTAATTTTACTCTATTACAAAAAAAAATGCTTGTTTTAGGTTATCCTTACTTATCTCTAAATTCTGTAAAATTATAGATTAGATTTTAATTGCAAGTTCTATATTTGATAACTCAACCGTGATCTTCTTGATTACATTATACATTTTTTTGTATTGTAAAATGACCTTGCCAAATAATTATTTATGGATACTACGCATAACGAAACCCAACGAACATATATAACTATGCAGAAACCGGGTACATCACATCTATCGAATGTCGGTGTACACTTTGAAATATTATTCTATGCACACATTTTGTATATTTATATTGAGTATCATCTTCGTTAGCCTGTAATGTGAATGTTAGTTGAGCTATGTTTCGGTTGTAGGGAAAGGAATTAGAAAAAAAGGCTTGTGGTCCTCTCTCTCTCTCTCTTGTGGTAGGACTTTTATGATATATGTAAAATCTACCGTCAGTTTGGAATGCTTTCGTGATGATAAGAACTGACAAGAAACATGGCTCTCGTTTGTAATGAAAGTTATGGTGTTGATTGCTGGCTTAAAGCCAGGGTGAGTTGTTACTTATTAAAGGTATGTACATATGTTAATCCGAAATTAGTTCTTCTTTACGAGTTTGTTTGAACAAAAACACAAAGCTTAAGTCATTTTCGTTGTAGAATATTCTAACATTCCATTCATATTGTTACAAGTTTACAACCGTACAATTTCCATGAAAATAAATTTTACACTACAATTCTTTATGTTAGAGACTTCAGTATATATTATATCTAATAACATAAATTTTAAAACACCGAGCTCATGACTCCGATAACAATGTTGTTAAAACAATATTACTTGGAATGACAGAATTTGCGTATACAGTTGTAATGTAAATTTAGTGAATTTGTCACACACGCTATTATGTCTCATAGTATTACTGGGAAATCATTATTACAAGCTATTAATGTAAAAAAAGAAATAGGTACCTACTTGGATAACGGTTTTAATGGAGAATCTTTTTTTATATCAAAAGAAGCAAGGACCAACCTGATGGTGAGTGATTACAACCGACGAGTACCTAAAACACTATAGTAATTGTTAGATTTTTTATTAAGGGGTGCATAGGGAAAGGAATTAAGAAAGGGACAGGACGGAGGCGGATAGTTTCCACCTCGACTCACTATGCCAAACGCAATAATACTTAACGCTGGTATTGTGAAGAGTTGTGGTATTTCTCAATTGGAGTTAGGCCTATTCGTGCTTCATAAAAAATGCAACTAGTTACTTCTTAATTATTCTATATACATATATAAAAATATTTTTACATTTTACAAGTTCAAAACCAAAAAATTTTTACATCTTTCTGTTTTGTCTTAAAAAATGGATACGCATTATTGTATCTGGAGTAAAATACCTATATACCTATGTCTCACCACCTCATCTATATTTGCAGTAAAACAACTTGCATTGTAAGATGTGTTTCGATTGAAGAACGAGATAAGGAAATAATATTACTGGGATTGAGAGCATAATATCTTAGTTCTTGAGAATGAACGCGTGAGTGGTACCACGGCCGTGATAAAGTGATCTCTGTGATGAAATCAACTTATTTGCCATGTCAGCAACTTTAAAAAGTATAAAGATGAGAACTAGGTATGACAGTTCAGTCATGTCGATTTGTTCAGACCTGATTATGTTTAATTTTCAACTTCTGTAAATCATGCTAATTATGTTGAATGCAATTCATAAGACTAATTATTGCTCATTTTCATTCAATAGTCCTTGAGACGATAGTCATAAAAACAAATGCGCATTATCGTGTTAACTTCATGGAAGTTATTTGTTTGCTATTTAATCTAGATACTAAAATTGTTATTAAGTTTTTCAGTTCATAAAATTCACTGCACATTAAGGAGGGAAGGGATTGACAAAAAAACAAAATTGTTTGACGTCACATGTTCAATTGTAATAGGTATTAAAATACAAAATTTGAGCTATTAACGAAAAAGTTAACATTACATATTTCCATAATGTTTGATAAAATTGTAAATATGTGACTTCACACAAGAGAGGGGGACTCCCCCTCACAAATATTAGCAACTGTGACAAATTAAAATAGTAAGAAATTTGTGTAACGTAATATGAGTGGCTCCTTATGCAGTCGATTTTCAGTACACAGACATACACGGAGACATATGATTCACTTACATTACATCAATTTCAATTAGACATTTTCTAATTCTAGCAAACACAGACGGTTTAAACATCCCTTCTGAAGTCAATTCAAAATAAAGTCCCTAAATACCAATTTATGCTGTTTACTTGAATTCCCCCACTTAAAATACGCTTAGTATTTGAGTTAAACATCTAAATACATCAAACGACACAATTTGGCTTCCAATCAGGCGAATCGACATTTTGATCCAAAGTCGTGTATATCCGTCACGTCAGTCAGACAAAATATCGGTCCGAATATACCAAATGAACTGGGCCAAAAAAAAAACCAAATGAAACCTCCTTATTCATTTGTTGAGATGCAACAGATCGGATGTGAAGGTATGTAGTGCGTAGACACTTTAATGCGATATTTATTTCTAACAAGCAGGCAATCGAAGAGGTTTTTAAAAAACTACAATTACGGGGCCACAATCAGGTATCTACGGCGATGTCACGCTATCTGAATCTGATTATAAGTGGTCATATTGTATTTAAAATTTACATTTTAGCCATTTTTTATAATTCAGTTACCTACTTATACTATTTATGCTTAGATGATATGTGTACTTTAGGGTACAAAGTAAAGTTATTGGTACATTTACAAAATTAATGCGCTACATTGTGTCTTTCAAATGTTGATAGATTTTTTAAATATGTACCATGATTCCGGTAATTGCATATTATCTATTGTACACTTTATTTTACAATGTTTTTGTAAGACTGTACATAATTTATCATAATATATAATATAAAAAGCA